ATTAATTATAGTGGGGGTAGGAAGACTATATCGACTCGTGTTTCAGCGGTCAAAATTGTGTACCGTTGAGTGAACCGTGCCAAGGCACTTCACCAAGACTGTTCACTCAACCTATGCGATAAACCATTACACATTGCGACATTCACCGTAGCTTGGGAAAGGACGAAGAGCGCCAGTCGTTCTAACAGCTCACAAGCGAAACGTTATAGAACTTCACTTGAAAGTTTTCAGACTTCCTTTGTCTTCCAGCGCGCTGATACTGGATTTTAAAAATGTTAAAGTAGACTTTGAAGCAGAAAAGGCTCAGAAATTTGGAAGCAGCGAACTGATTAAGCTGAAATTTTTCATGCATATGTTTCGACCCCGCAGATGGTTTTAGGCTATTTTTCGAAGCGGTTTGTTGAATTTTTTATGCTGTCTATTGATTTGTGACATCTTGCAATAAAAAAAAAACTAAGCCGCTGTCAAATCGCTTGCGCATTTTGGTGTAATCAACGGAGTGAAGCCATTTTCATTTTGAAACGAAGAAGATACAGTTACTCAAAACAGAATACTGAGGTAAGCTCAAACGGAGAGTAGGGGTGGGCTTTCAGTGCAGTGTTGAGACTGCAGATAAGGGGGCAGAGGACAAAGCCAGGGCGATTGCTGAGGCCACAGATTTGACTGGTCTAAGAGTTTTTCAACATTCTGAACACCAAAATGATACCACACTCAATGATTAAGCTTTTAATCAACGCAGAATGTTTTTTTTACTTTTTTGCTATATTATATACCTCAAAATGTCCTTTTTTCGCTTTTTATCGTTAACTTGATTGAATAAGGTTTCCACTACTAACTTTTACGTCAAGAGAGACTTTGTGAATTGTCGCGAAGTCATAGGGGAATTCGTTTCCAGAGAAGCTCCAGACCAACGCGTGCCGGACCTGGACAAGGCTGCACCGAATGGAAAAGACGGGAAGGAGGAAAGACAAAGCGTGGCTTTTGTCCATCCTTCTGACCCGGGTGGACCGAGAAAGAAGGATGGCCAGCTGGTTTTTATACGAATCAAGGTTTCATACAGAACCACATTTTTTTAATTTCAACGATTTTTTTTCAACGATTTTCGAATAAAAAAGAAATCAAAAAACTATGACTGATCGCAAAAAACTCAACAACTCGAAGTTATCTGAGTTGAAAAGATTAGGCAGTAAAACATTGGAGAAGAATTCAAGAAATGGAATCGGATTTACTGAACCTCTTCAGCAATTCTAAAGACGATTTCAAAGAACACGATTCAACTTCCTTTGCTTCGCAGTACGCCAACGATGATTCTTCGAGATGTACTACAACAACTGACTTCGCTCAGAATGGAAGAGATTACGATACTAGAAGAGTTTGAGCACACTTTCCATCGATATTTCGCGACTGAAGAAAATGCTAACTTTTTTCAAATAAATTTTTCAAGCCATCCTCTCTCGTGCATCTTCTCCACCAACGCTCGCTACATTCCAGAAGGCATATCTCGGGTGGAGGACATTAGGTCGCCGAATTTGGAGGAGTCCCGCGCGGATTCCCTGCAGGAACGCATGTCCGCGTATGTACAAGGGTGCGTATTTGTCGCAAATGACCGCGGGGACCGCCCTCTTTCGGCGACCTAATGTCCTCCACCCGCATATCTCCGATAGGAAAAAAGCTAACAGTCCAGGTTTTTTTGAGGGCATGTACTCAAGGGTGTAAGAAGCAAACACATATAATTAACGAACAAAAATTTGTGGAAAAGCCGAACATACAAGGACATCATTTGTTCAAGGACTTTCCCCCAACCCTGTATAGTAGGCACATGAATTTATGGGTTTAGTGGCTTGTTGCCTTCTTCGACCACTGCAATTGGCAACCTTTCGATTTTTGTTCTATACCCTTGATTCCAAACGTCCCCATCCCATTTTTATCTTCACTAGGCCTCGGTCTTTCAATCTTTACGCGTGTAGTCACGGTCATGGGGTTGAGAATTGCTGGGACTGATAATTTTTTTTCTACCACAATTCGGATTCGCCGAGTAACATCTCCTTGCAACGAAGATGTCGTTATTATCACCTTCGCCCATCATCCTGACAACTTTTTTGCCAATCTCGCACAATTTTTGGAGTGGTGCATATTTATTTGCATTTCTCATGCTGCTTATATTTTGGTGTTTTGTGCTTCACTAATCTTGACTCATAACTTCCAGAAAATCCAAAATTTTGTAATACTGTGCTCCACACTCAACAAGAAATTAGAACTTCTTTCAGTGAAATGCTGACGAATGGCCTCTTCTAAATGATTGGTTCCTGCTAAGCACTTTGATGTCTGCAGCCTACTTGCGTCCTATACCGGGAGTGAAGCAGCGGAATCTGAACACTGGAAGCATGAAAAAGTCGGCAACTAATACTTCAGCATTGTTGAGATAAAGATCTCAATGCGTGGTTGTATTCCGAGCTATTCTTGTCATACCACTCATGAAGATTTCCACACGTGTGATGCTCATCTCTAAATGAACATATACGAGTTTCTGATTGGGGATACATATAATCCAGCACACGAACCAAACACTACTTGCGCTATAATAGCCAGTTTGCTGCTTTAGACAGTTCTTTTGTCGTAAAATTTCTTTTTCCTATCTTTCCTCTTCCTTTGTTAATAGACTGTACGTTACTCGCGTTTCAGTTTGTTACTGAGTTGTTGTACTGTTTCCAGCATATCTCGAGCGTATCAGATAAAAATAAAGTAAAAAAATTCCTTTCCATTTTCCTTACGCGGTTTTTTCTAGCAGGATATACCTATTCCAAAAACGATTATATCACCATTGTTTAGTGATAAAAGGATAGAGAATTCATAGGTCTTTATATCAACCAGAAGTACCACTATGTACTGAAGGAAGGACTATGCAATACAGTGTGTAAAAGAATTAGAAATAGTGATCGATTAGTGATGAAGGCGTCAACCGACATGATAGAGGGTAGTGACTTAGAAATGACAAATTTGAAAAGATGCCAGCATAAAGTACTAAGAGAAGTCCTCACATTCCATCTCTTCAAAACAAAATATCTACATTTGTTACAGTTAAAGCCATCAAGTGACTGAACCACGTATTTCCCCACACGCTGACAGGATTCATTAGCGATGTTGCGACCCTCATTTTCAATTTCAATAAAGTGACAGTCTGACTTCATCAAGAATCAAATAGTTCATTTATTCGAGAAACCATGTAACCAGTGTGAAGACGTGCGATGACATATTGGAGAGTATTTTCTTCATATTCCCAATCTTTCTTCTGATAGCATAAGTAAGCTTCTTAACGCTGAGTATGTTTGTCAGATATAAAAGTTTACTAATGTACTTTTATGGGTACCAACCATGTTTTCTTCTGCAATTTCAACAATTTTATTGTTTCAGCATGGCGAGTTGCGTTGAATACATATTTTCCCACTAGCCTATTTTCTTTCATAGTTGGGCTAGAAACTAAAATCCCGCCAAAATGTTGTCAAAGGCCAAGAATGCGGTAGAAGATTTTCTGATCATTTATGGTTATCATTCGGTTCAAACACTCATGGCGAATCAAAACTTAATTCACTGTCAAACTGGAAACCAATCTTTATTGTAAAGATCCACAAATCTGGCTGATAAGTAGCAAGGAAACTCCTTCCAGAAATGTTAAAATGTTAAAAAATTAACAAAACAGTGGTGATCTGACCTATTTGACTATGATTGCCTACTCTCTTCTGTCGAAAGCGGAGACAATTTTGCAAAGACCATGTCGAAGCATGTTACAGTCGAGTAGATTTTCCGCTCAATATAGTGTGCTTGCACAGAAGGGAAATGCGGTGAAATTTGCGCGTGAACAAACAGCCACGTCAGTACCGCCGGCCAAGTGCGCGCGCACTTGGCCGGCATCACAGTTGAAGCCATTTTCACGCGCAAATTTTACCGCATTTCACCTTCTTTGCAAGCCACTATGTTTAGCGGAAAATCTACTAGACTGTAGATATATATGATTACCGTTACAGCGTCTTTCGGGTTTGTCGGAAAATGTAGTTATACCGCTCAAAAATTACGTTACTTTACGTGTGGTCACCGTGCCGCGAAACTCCGCTACATATGTTGCCAGATTTTTCCTTGAAGCTGGAACGGCAGCTTCTCCATAGTATATAGCTGTGTATGCTGAGAATTCCACAGTAATCCCACACTGATGGGAACTGACCATCCTTATCCCACTGACGACGATGTGATCCACTGGTGGCCCACGCATTTTTGCTGCCAGGGACGATGTGGACCACCGGTTCCCCAAACCTCTTGCAAGTCATATTATTTGTAGGTCTAGTATTTTTTCCACATACTGATATTCATACCAATTTTTTGCACTTTTGCTGCCTGTATGTTCCGTCGTTTAGGAAAGTATTTATACCCTAAAATCCCATAGATAAGAGCGGTTTAAATAGCGATTTTAACGGAATTTCGGAATTTCTATATGAATTGTTTTAAGTGGGCGGGGTTTAGAGTTGAGGGGCGGAGCTTCTTCTAAACTTCTTCTCCGATTTTTATTTATCCATCCATCAAGTTAGAGGGGTGACTGCATTCAATTTCAATTTTTCCAATTCATTTTTCACCGGTAAACTGAACCGCTCTTATCTATGGAATTTTAGGGTAATTGTTTATAAAATCTTGCATTTTGTAAATAACCACAAAATCTTCCCACACCGAAATTGTTGTGCAAAATCGCCGTCCCACAGCGCCGCCACGAAAAATTAGGCCCCGTCGTCAATGGGTTATACAGTGAATTCGGATTGTATACAGCTCCAAGGGACCACACTCACCCAAAAGCAGGAGAGTTAAACAACTAAGTGCACATCTTGGGACAACCAATATCTTGAAGTTTACTCTGCTTAGTGATTATTTGTCTGTTTGCCATGACCGATATATTTGAACAATGAAACGGCCACGTCTTACCCTGACAACTACAATTCTTGGAATTTTCATTGTCGATGGGTCAAACGGAAACACTTCCCATAACAAACAGCAAACATGAGTGAAGAAAGTGTAGAAATGAGTTCTGTGCTATTATATTAGAGTGCTCAAGAGCGACAATTGTGAAACGCTTGCTATTTCTGCAAGTATAAAGTAGTCGTAATTCAAAAAAACTTCATTACAAAATTGTAAAAGGACATTACAACATCCCTCACACTACAGTGTGCTAAAAAGTGCACCATAACATAAGTCAGAACCCCGTACAGTAAAGAATAAATAATCCTGAACCATGACATTCATAAAACAAGAAAAAGAAACGATAGTAATAATATAGACTTTCGAACACATAAGACTTCATGGTATTCATAAGATAAATGATCTGATGAGATCTTTGAAGCTGGAAAAAACAACACTGACTTATGTAATGAATGAATGCTGAATAAAAGATGAAAAATCTGTGATAGATAACTTTATTAGATGGTAGAAAGGTCATCAATGGTACGCCCATATTTCTTGTTTGGCACAAATGGCTCCCATCTAGAAGCTGGATAAATATGCTTGTTTTTCTCGTACCATCCACGGAGCACTACCTGAAATTGATTTATTGCCAAAAGAAAAATCGGCACTTTAATCAACCGAAATAAAGTCACAAGTAAAATGCATACCTTTGCAGGATGGGCTTCTCCACAATCGAGAGCTGCGTCTTGTCGTATTCGCACATCACCAGCTGCATCAAACTCGTACAAAGGCCCAGTCTTTCCCATAGCTTTGGTTACGATAAAGTCCTGGAACCTAAATAAAAAAAAAGTGCATATTTTCAACCAAAAAACAGAAATAAGCCATGAAGACTATATAATTTCACTTGATAAAAACGAGGAAACGACTCATAATAAGATACATACGTGTAAAAATGAGGGATAATTAGATCTTCCTTAACAAACATCAAGTTTTCAGGTACACTCGTTTTGAGTTCCGTAAACTCCTTTTTCAGAACCTGAATTAGCTATCTTTAAGCTCAATCAGTTCGCAGATTCGTAGACGACGGCACTCACCTCTATGGCCCAACCCAAAAACTGCGAAATTGTGTTTCCCTTCTTGACCTTCAGATTTTTTCTGTGACTAGATCCATCCCAATAAGCAAAAGCCACTGTAATCTCCTCATTTTTCTCTCTTTCTTGTTGCGCTCTCCATTCGGCGGCCAACTCTTCTTTTCTTCTACAATTTGCGAGTATACAATAAGGTTCAAGCACCATAACAAGGGCATACCTAGCGATCTCAGCTTCTCTTTCCTTGTCGGGTAGGAAACTTGTATCGATTGTTGGATCCATTCCGACTCTCTAAATAAGCTGAATCGAAAACCTCTAGAATCAACCTCGACTTATACCTTCTTGACAATCACAGGCTCTTCTTCTTCTTCCTCATCCTCGAAAGCGAATGAAAGCACTCGTTTCTGAAAGATAGGAGATAATTGATAACGGGAAGTCTGCGCCGAATCGACACACTATCAGATATGCATGTGGCTCGTCAAAGGAGAGTTGAGGTACAAAAATGAAAAGAAGTTGGAAGATATGATGATAGCAGTGGCGTACCCAGGATTTCGGCTCGGGGGGGGGGGGGGGGGAGGGGGGCGACAAATAAATTTTTCTAATGAAGGTGCGTGGCGTCAGCCACGCACTCCGAAAAATTTTTAGGGGTGCTTTCAAACATTTTCGCGAGCTCATGACCCCGAAAAATCAGAGAAAGGGGGAGTGGCGTCAGCCACGCCCCCGAAAAAATTTTTTTTACAAGGCTAATTTGGAATTTTAAAAAATTCAAAAAAATATTTTAATTATTTACAAGTATGAACAAGTCATTTGCACAATTTTATAGCTCATGTAGGCAACTTTCAAAATCGCGACCAGTTCTCGGGAACGCCCCCCCCCCCGCCCTCCCCCCCCCCCTCGATACACCACTGGATGATAGATACTTCAAATTGTTCTGTTATAAAATCCAGGTTTCCCTATGAGAACTTATTTGCCAAATTCATTTCATGACTAAACAGTCGATTCTGATTTCAAACTGGCTTCATTTGTGGCTATCGCTAGCCTAGCATAGCATTACTTGATGGTTTTCACGCTCTCAAAGTATGCCAGATGGATGGACATACAGAGTTTCGGTGGGTTCTGGATATAAGCCGAAAGTATACACGATTCATGACACGCAAAGACTGGGCGCCGTTGCGCCCGGCCAAGATACTTTGTGCATGAAAGAGACAGCAGATGGCAAGAGAAACGAAAGAGCGCTCGATCGGAGAGACGCCGGTAAGTCCGCAGTCTTTGCGTGCTGTTAATCGCCTATAATTGCGGGTATTCCAATGCAAGCGTGAAAAAACAAAAAAAAAACAAAAAAAACATGAAATTTGTTTCGACAATTTTCACGTCAAAGTGTTTCACTTAAAGGTCATTGACAGACTGGATGGTCCAATGAAGTTCTGTCATTTTACACAAGCATGGATATAAGAGAGCCTTTGGTGACACTCAAAGCCCCAGCACTTCGAACCCTTGCAGCTACCTAATTCCTACGTTTGACGCGTTCGCAGTCTCTAGGCATTTTCCTACAATGAGTTCAAAGGAAATTTGGTCGCGAAGCGCAAACTCAAGCGAGGCAGCGGAATTCAACGCTGGAGTTGTGACACTATCATTGAGATAGTCTATAGCAAAGCATTAGCGCATCAAAACTATTGAAAAGAACATTTGATTTCATGGAGCAAGAGCAGCCGTTTCTGAATACGAAAAAAGGATACTCACTTGAGCTACTTTCTCCTGACTACTGGAAGCGGAAGCTTTTTCCTCCGATTTACGTGTTTTCAAGTCATCGCCACGGGCAACAATGGCATCCCTAGATCCGAAAATCTAACAAAGCAAACCAAAATAAGCATCAGGTACCTATCATGTACGACATCCTTTTGTTTTTCACGCATCTCATCTAACGTCACCAATCCTACGGTCTTGGTTTTGAGGCATTCTTCCACAGCATCATAATTTGCAGTAAATTTCGACGAGATCCCAGCAGCCCCTAAACGAAATATTTTTACCTTGCATTTCGAGGAGCAATGATCATACTTCTAGTTGATTCTTCTTCGATCTTCTTTAGTTGTTGTTCGATATCTTCCTTTGCACGTTCACGTTTTTTCGATAGATGTATCAAACGACCAGCATCCGCGCGTGACATCTTTCACCTCCCAGGTACCCCTAAAATGACCAATCATTGAGGAAGGGCTCCTTCATAGTTATGCAATGAGTGTAGATCGAGCAAATAAACGAAAGCCATAATGACTCTCTTGTATAAACGTGTCTATCTTATCAAAATGGTCTATATCAGACTATAAAAACACTTCAAGGAAATAAAATCCATTTTGTTGTGAGCAATATCAAGCGAGCTGCGGCCAACTAAATTTCCGTTGTATCACTCACAGGCCTCTGCAAAACTCTATATTGAAGCAGATAGAACCAAACCCTGGCGAGTTTTCTCTCATACTGAGGTGAATAAAAAAACAAAAACAAATTAAACTCATCTAAAATCTAGACATAGAAGAACACCTAAGAACTAGATCTCCGAAGCCGTTGAACTCCAAGAAAACTACATTAACTCCCCCTGCTTCTCCACTTCCACAAAACTTTCATATATTTCTTCAAATTCTAACTGCACTGAGTCAGCAACTTGAAACAGAAAAGAAAGGAAAAGTCAAAATTCGAAAGTTCCAGAAACTGTAGCGTCACATTTCCCGTGTCGCACTGCAGACTCCACATCGATTTCGACGGCAGTTGGCATGCAGACTCTTCCCGAATGTTCCTTGCTCCGCCTTCCTCTCGATTTCGACCACTCAGAGAGCCCGGCACCGCCCAGTTATCTAGAATTTTCAGGCCCGGTATATAGGGCTTCGCGGCAACGAACTCGTGGTATCGTCCAGTGGCACGGCTGCGTATCAACTTTAGGATTCTTTCACTTCTGTTCGATCGAAATTTCATCCTTTTGCTCTACTTGATCTGCTTCCGGTTCAAGTGCTAAGTCCGATAAGTCCTGATCCTGTCTATTATTGAGTTCGAGTGACCGTGCATCTGGCTGCAATCTTGCTTTGAGTTATTTTTATTTTATATCATTTGGAATATTCCAGACATGTCTGACGATAAGGGCGAAACCTTTGCATTCCAAGCTGAGATTGCTCAGCTTATGAGCTTGATCATTAACACATTCTACAGCAACAAAGAGATTTTCCTGCGAGAATTGATCTCTAATTCATCTGATGCATTGGATAAGATCCGTTATCAGGTATGTGACAAGTGATATTCATATTCATTTGCGTTTCTTTTTTGAAAGTTCATTCTCTGGTTTGGTTTACCAAATTTTTAACTGACCGCACCTACTTTAGGCTCTTACTGAGCCAGGAGAGCTCGATACTGGTAAGGAGCTTTACATCAAGATTATCCCAAACAAGGAAGATAAGACGCTGACCATCATTGACACCGGTATCGGTATGACCAAGGCGGACCTTGTGAACAATCTGGGTACCATCGCCAAGTCTGGAACGAAGGCGTTCATGGAGGCTCTCCAGGTTGGTCTTGGTCTTGACACATATTTGGTGTTATGCTTTCTTCGATCTCCATGAATACGTGTTCTACAGGCTGGAGCAGACATTTCTATGATTGGGCAGTTCGGTGTTGGTTTCTACTCAGCTTTCCTCGTTGCTGATCGTGTTGTTGTTACTTCTAAAAACAATGACGATGACTGCTATCAGTGGGAGTCCAGCGCAGGCGGTTCCTTCATTGTTAGGCAAGTGTAAAGTTATAACCGAACATGCATTACCCAAGGGTTTGTTTTTAGGCCTGTAAATGATCCTGAGCTCACACGTGGTACCAAGATCACCATGCACATCAAAGAAGACCAGACTGAAGTTTTGGAAGAGCGTCGAATTAAGGAGATTGTCAAGAAACACTCCCAATTCATTGGCTATCCCATTAAACTTGTGGTCGAGAAAGAACGTGAGAAGGAAGTGGAGGACGACGAAGCCGAAGAAGGCAAGGAAGAGGTGGGAAGCGTCTAATTCACTAAATTTACAGAACATTATTTTTTATTGCAAATCGTATATCTGTAAAACATGCTAACATTATCGAGCCATTCCCCTTAATTTTCTACATAATATCACTCAGCACGTTCTAGGCAAAGGAGGGAGAAGTCGAAAATGTTGGTGAGGATGAGGATGCAGACAAGAAGAAGAAGAAAACGAAGAAGATCAAGGAGAAGTACCACGAAGATGAGGAACTGAACAAGACCAAACCTATCTGGACTCGAAACCCCGATGATATCTCAAACGAGGAGTACGCAGAGTTCTACAAGGTGTGTTCAGCCTAACAAATTTTTTATGGTGAACTGAATGGTGTCATTGCAGAGTCTTTCAAACGACTGGGAAGATCATTTGGCCGTCAAGCATTTCTCCGTTGAAGGTCAACTAGAGTTCAGGGCGCTTCTTTTCGTTCCCCAGCGCGCTCCATTCGATTTGTTTGAGAATAAGAAGAACAAGAATTCAATCAAATTGTGAGTTTCACTAGGAGCAGCTTTACAATATCTATAACTTCACCTAAAATATCATCTAGGTATGTACGACGTGTATTCATCATGGAGAACTGTGAGGAGCTTATGCCAGAATACCTGAACTTCATTAAGGGAGTAGTAGACTCGGAAGATCTTCCACTGAACATTTCTCGTGAAATGCTCCAACAAAGCAAGATTCTGAAAGTTATCCGCAAGAATCTTGTGAAGAAATGTCTCGAACTTTTCGAGGAAATCGCTGAGGACAAAGATAACTTCAAGAAATTCTACGAACAGTTTGGAAAGAATATCAAGCTCGGTATCCATGAGGATTCTACCAATCGCAAGAAGATGGCTGACTTCCTCCGTTATTATTCGTCATCTTCCACTGATGAAATGACCTCTCTGAAGGATTACGTCTCACGAATGAAGGATAACCAGACTCAGATCTACTACATCACTGGAGAGTCAAAGGATGCTGTAGCTAACTCTGCATTCGTTGAGCGCGTCCGCAACCGAGGATTCGAAGTCTTGTACATGGTAGATCCTATCGACGAATACTGCGTGCAGCAGCTGAAAGAATACGACGGCAAGAAGTTGGTGTCCGTCACTAAAGAAGGTTTGGAACTACCAGAGAGTGAGGATGAGAAGAAGAAATTCGAAGAGGATAAGGTTTGTTGCTGAAATCGAATTTTGGTTTTCTTGTATGAAAGCAATTTGTTTAGGTGAAGTTTGAGAACCTCTGCAAGGTGATCAAGGATATTCTGGAGAAGAAGGTAGAGAAGGTTGTTGTCTCAAACCGACTCGTCCACTCACCTTGCTGTATTGTAACCTCCGAGTACGGATGGTCAGCTAACATGGAGCGTATTATGAAAGCCCAAGCTCTGCGAGACTCATCCACGATGGGCTACATGGCAGCCAAGAAGCATCTCGAGATCAATCCCGACCATGCTATCATGAAGTGAATTGTTAGTTCGCTTTTATCGACAAACCCTAATGCTTTTACTCCAGGACTCTTCGTGAACGAGTTGAGGTCGACAAGAACGATAAGACCGTAAAGGATTTGGTCATCTTGTTGTTCGAGACCGCCCTTCTGTCTTCTGGCTTCTCCCTCGAAGAGCCGCAATCGCATGCTTCCCGAATCTACAGGATGATCAAGTTGGGTCTCGACATTGGAGACGAAGAAGATGAAGATATGCCCGCTGCGTCCTGTGCTGCTGAAGTTCCTAAAGTAGCTGGTGCTGAGGAAGATGCGTCCCGAATGGAGGAGGTCGATTAAGTATATTTAATGCATGCAACTGGTTACTCTGTGTGATCTCCGTCACGGCACCGCATCATTCTCATTAGAGTATAGTGGTCATGGATGGTCGTGATCATTCTTTTGTTCTGTTATTTAATAAAATCTACGTCAATAATGTTTCTCGTGTTAACTGTAATATTCTATTAAGTAACCAAAATGTAACAAGAAGGAAGTCTGGACTGACATCTCAACTGTGTGTGTTAGCTGAGTATTCTCCTGCGGTAATAAAAGCAACAATATCCGATATTGAAGTTATTCTGACTTACCTGAAAAAAGAGCATTTTTAGAGGTTTTTGAAAGGAAGAGAAGCGCTGGCATTGGCGTTGTCGCTTGCAAAGTGAAATACTGTGTGGGCTAGTAGATTCTGTTATAAGTAGGGTGTTCATGCGATGCCGACATTTACCAGTTGCGAAGCAACTGCAACACTTAAAGGCAGCGTCCAGGCAAGTCTGGACCTATGGGGATTTTACGTGGGAAGTATTTTTGGGGCCCTAACTAAGCCACTGCCCAACCGGCAGCTCAGGTAGTGCTCGAACATCTGAGATATTCCCCTCGAAACTGGACCCCGCGATCGTATTCGCATGGATTCATGGCGCAAAGCGTGGATCCTGGCGCGAAACTGCCATGAATCCATTTGACTACGTTTGCGGGGGCCAGTTTCAAGGGGAATATCTCAGATGTTCGAGCACTACCTGAGCTGCCGCTTGGGCAGTGCCTTAGTTAGGGCCCAAAAGTACTTTCTACGTAAAAGCCCCATAAGTTCAGATCTGCTTGGACGCTGCCTTTAAGTAAGAGCACTGCTCATGCGTCAAACTCCTTAGAGAAAGCTTTGTTGAGTGATGTTACGGTAAGCCTACCGTAATCAGGAAAGCAGTGCCGTATTGTGCTATCGGTCGGCTTGTATATCTAGATCGGGTAATAGTAGCGTATTTTGAAGTTTATAACATAAACGCACACAACAAAGGTATACGGGTCAGTAAAATGGTTGTTTAATAATTTTTTGAAATATAGAGATAAGCCACCACAAATCTAACGCAAATTTGGTTCCCGCACTGAAAAATACACCTGACTCTTTTCTTGGGCAGTTTGGTATAATCTACGGCGAAAACAGTCATCGATAGTTAGCTCACTGTCCTTAGTCTGTTTAAAAATTTTCATTAGCAGTCAAATAGACAAGAATATTACTATAATAGTAAGCGGTTGCTAATGCACTGAAATCGTTGTCGCATTCGTTTCCATGCCAACTTGAGCTGATGGTCATTTGCTAGCCTCCAGCTGGGTGGATTATTCATTTGGGCAACGAATTATCTACAGCTGCTAATGGAGAGGAGAGCGACCGCCACAGATAAGAAGAAACCATCCGTAGGGAGAGTGAAGCCGGTGGGTTCAACTTCTTTTGCGGAAGAGATTCTACTATGCGATTTTCGAATTTGACCATAGAAAATTGAAATTTGTACAGGACATAGTTAATGTAAATTGTGTATGAACGCTTTTCAGCAAGTGTGGCATCATAAGCAAGTAAGTAAGTTATAAATCGCAGATTATCGATAGGTCACGGATATTGGTTTCTAAACGACATTCGCAGTTGACTCGTCATTCAATCAAGTTCGAAGAAGTAAATCTGTTGCACGTTGCAATTTCGATCGTGGACAAATATTCTTTACTCAAAACTTGAATGTGTTATTCTTTAGCCATTTTTGTTTATTTTAGCACAGTACAAATCCGATAATTCTAATAGCAAATTTTTTATAACTCAATACTTGATAGCGCAACTCCTTTACAAGGACGGACATTAGGATACGCCAAAACAGAAGCACTTAGTTTTCATCTTCATAAAACGTTGTCAATGTGGTTCGACAATAGCAAAGCCGTCAAAATTAGCACATTCGTACCAGATGATAGAATGACACACGACGATTGGTCTAATTTGAAGAGGCGAGGGCCACCAGCAATTGCAGCTTTAGAGTGCTCCCAAGAAGCAGTGGCGACCGAACGAAATGCAAATTATATTCGTCGTGTTAAGCTGGTTCCAAATCTTATTGTTGGCATAGCAAACTAAAAAGCGAGACCACTAGCAACATGAAGTGATATCAGGCGAGAACCCTTGGAACGAACTAACGTTGTCGAAGTGATTCCGTATTGGTCAGGCAGGAAAAATTTGAAAGACTTATTGTGAAAATCCTGGTTGATTTCTGTTTCGTTCCTGGCTTCTTCGTGTTGCATAAAACTTATTGACATATCAAAAACTTTCTTTGTCACACAAGCTAGTGGTAGCTACTTCGTAGAGCTTCCTTTAACTTCCAAATCCTCCTCTTTTAGGGCGGAGAGAACTGTAACATTAACACTGTAAAATTTCCAAAGGGGAAATTTAGCATCATGTCAAAGGGGTACTCCGATCCCTCCATAGCACAAACGTTCCGCTCTCTTTTAATCCGTTTCATGCTAGTAAAATAATGATAAAAGGAAACCACCGCGATAGCTTCCACCTAAAGACCTTGCAGAATTTACCTCAGAGGTATTTGAGTCAGCTCAACGAGACGAATCTATTATATGCATTTCGTTCCAGATCGCGACTTGGCATCCTGCCCTTGTAAGCAGAACAAAAAAAAAACACTCGGTCTGTATAACTTCAAAGAAAAGGCGTCCGGATTAGCAATGTTTTTCTTTGTTCTGCTTACGTGGAAAGGATCCCAAGAAGCAGTGGCGACCGAACGAAATGCAAATTATATTCGTCGTGTTAAGCTGGTTCCAAATCTACCTTCTTATCTGCTGCGCGGTTTTCTGGAAGAATAAGCGATTATAAGTGTGACGTTATTAGGGTTCTAATGTATAATCTGCTTCAAAAAACAAGCTTGAGAAAGCATATTAGCATAGTGTTGGGTTCACTGACTACAGGGAATGCAGAGACCGGCCAACATAGGAAAATGCTTTAAACGACTACTTTTGAAGTTGTGGCACCGAATATTTCCAGTTTCGGACCCTCAATTTCCAGTTTCGGACCCTCACTCGCTCATAACTTCTTCTAGAGAACCGCGGAGCAGATATGGAAGTTAGATTCGGAATCAGCTCAACAGACGCATCTGATGATATGCATTCGTTTCAAATCGCTACGGCGACGAGGAACCCTTCCTTTAGTTCTATACACTCTCAAATGAGTCATGCATCGAAGCAATCATTCCTCAGAGAAGAATTTTAACACATGAGTCATGCAATGATTGTGGTTTTAGAAGTTCTGTTATGCTTTATTCCTAAGAATTACTTCCGCGTTTCCTGGCTGTTTCTCAGAATCACTGTAGGGATACTGCAGATGACGGTCTGCTTGATTTCAGCTAAAAATACTCAACTTATTGTAGAAGAAATTGCCCCACAAGTCAGACAGCAGAAAATGCAGGCTGTCGTCAACGTGTTAACGATGTTATGTAGATTTTTATAGAATAGTCACAAATGTGACAAACAATTTTATCTGACTCGGAAGTTTGAGGGATACTATCTGACTCGTATCGGTTGACGCTCTGCCAAGATGACTATAAATTCGGTCAATACAGGATGTCCCAAGAAGATGTCCATTGATCGTTAATGACTCTCTTATTTTGATGTCATTCGACAAACTTAAGGTACGTAGTGTAGAGCGAGGTTCAACTTAGGTTTACAGTAATACAGCCAATCAGCGTCCGCTCTTCATGATAGAAAGTTCGAGAAAAATTTTACATCGAGAGCCACATTTTGCTTCAAGAAGAAAAGCAAAGAAGCCAAAAACTTTTATGCTGGACTAACCAAGGTCGCTGATTTCAAGTATGAAATCTGCAATTCACTGCATTGCTTCTTTCATAAGGTATTCCAAGAATATCGTGACATATTTCTACTATTTGTCAAAATTGTGTTTACAAGCATTGAATAATTCAGGAAGCCGTAATATGCTATGTAGTGAAATTAGTATGCGTGAAAGCCTTCCATACAATTTTCCAAACTTTTTGAAAAAAAAAATCATCAAACGGCCTTTTTTACAATGATTCAATATACTGAAAGTTCCTACCGTAGTCCTACAGTATTGAGGAGCAATCGCTGATACTCTCTATACTGCGACTCCAAGCTGAACCTCGCTCAACACAATGGTACTGTAACTTCGCCGAAGAACATCAAGGCAAAAGAGTAACGATCAAACAGTGTGTGCATATTTTTGGGACACTCTGATACATTCAATTTAGATGTTAAGAGGAACTTCGGCAGACGCAGATTCGCGCATACCATCAAATGCAGCAACTCAGCTTACCCAAGGAAATGTGTCACAAGTAAGTTTTTAGCTTCTGCTGTGAGTTGTGTGTGTTAACAATATAAAATCTTGTGGCGCTTATACTCTTCTTTTTCATCTTAAAAGACAACTACAGGTCAAGTAGGCTCATTTCTCTTTATTATCAAGCGCGGTTGCATTCGATCATATAGAATATTAAATACAAAAATCTTGAATTCTATCAACTTATGAATGACACAAGTCTCTTCGCTCAAGACAAACGGTTAGTAGTTTACTTAGTAGTAGTACTTCACCTTCAAAAACGACTCCATGAACAAGCCGTTGATCTGGAAAGAACACTTTTTCCGGTAATCAAAAATTGAAAATGCCTACTCGGCTTACTGATGTATAGCGCGGGTGTTGTTAGTTATGCTAGAGTTATGGAAGTCTTTTGCTGTTTTCACTCGATCGGACAGCACTTGTCAAGCTTTGGAAAACTTAGTGGAAAGTGCCGTCTTTTTCACTAGCATCTCTGCATGCATGAGCAAATATTATTCTAAGGCGAGGAGATCGGCTGTCGCGGAGGCTGAAGCGCGATATACGGGGAGATCTGCTCAGATTGAGGTGGTGAAATTTTTGATGAAAAAAATTTTTTTTGCTCAAACTGAAAACCTTAGATGCTGCGTGAAAGGATTCGTCGTTACCTCGAACAAGCTGCATCCCTACGCGCCGAACATCGACGAGATCATGTATCGGTAGAGAATGTTCATAACAATGATGAGGTTGTGAACGCGTTCCATAGGGAACACCTTATCGTTTTTTTTTTCAAGAATCAGTACATAGGTCATTTTCTAGGAGCAGGACGACGCAGTGCCAGGTGTTATCTCTCGAATGTTACAAAATCGTCAGTCTGAGATCGTTCTGCAGAATGTTCTTCAAGAGGTCTTATCCGAAGTAGGAAGCAAACTCAGACAAGACATTGAAAATCAGGTAAATAACGTTCAATCGGAAAACCTCGGTGTAAACTACCGCTTCGAAAGATATGCCTCTATTTTACAATCTTTTCTGCGAACACTGCTCCCCATATTCAATGAGTGGCGACTTGCGTTTCCTATAAGGAAACTCTGCAGATCAGGATGTCGCGTAATTCCAACGAGCAGAAGCTGGAGACGCTTACCACTCGTTTTGAGGATGTCTTACGTCAAAACCAATATGCTCACGATCAAGAAGTGCTGGAACTTCGAGGATCTATAGAATATCTGCAGGTGACATATTGTCTGAGTAAAATTGCTCTCTGTTTTCAAATACTGCAGTTTTTGGACAAGAAATTTGATCATTGTTTCCGCTGCTTTTTCGCGAAATGCAGTAGAAACTTAGGTAAATCCAAACCTAAGAACCTGTGTGGCTTTCATTTTGTTCATTGATGCTGTAGATTTTTGATCACTGGATATCTCACCTGACTTTTTCAATGCAAAAAGTGAACGGCTATTTTTTCTTTTTTTTGTATTTTTCTTAGTATTGTCTGTCATCCATCAGAGCGATTTTTTCTCCTCATCAAAAACTTGTTTTTGACTTTTTTACATAATAGATGTTCGACATTTCTGACCTTAGATATCGGAAATGCTTGTTTACAATATTTTACTCTGAGTTTATCTGGACCATCAGCAACGATATTAAATATACCTTTCATATTTATTGCTAGTCCCCTTTTGAATTTATGTTCAGTGCAGCAAAGAATTCTAAGAATGCTGCCAGGCAATGCACTAAGAAGTTCCATGAGGTTTTGCGAAAACATATTTGCAATGTTTGTTCACGTAGATTGATTTTTGCCTTAGACAGCACTCAGGACTTACTAAACAAGTAAGTTTTGTCTGCTTTCCAGGAAACACTAACAGCAACTCGCGAAGAGAGCGAACGACTTAGGCAGCAGCTTGATGAGGCTAATTTCAAAATCCTGGAAAGAAGTGAAGATATGGGCTGTGTTCAAGCTGAAATAACGGATCTTCGACAAGAAGTGCAAGCTCTACGAGCTTATAGGGATAAACACAGGGTACGACCTCACGCTGTCCCAATTACGAAATGCGTATGTTAAGGGGCATATAAGACATTTATTTCAGCTTGAAATGAAAAATTTGGATCAGCTGCAAAAACAATTGGAAGACCTGCAGACAATTAACCGACTTACTCGTCAGGAGTTTACCAAAGTGAGTTTTTTTCGTAAAAAAGCTGAGCGACCATCAAAATTATTTTTGCTTGTGAAATCTCTACTGTTTTTATAAAAGTCGAATCGAGTCATGAAAAAAATTCAAAAGTAGTTCAGGGCCAAGTCCCCTTTTTTCGAATTTTCAACAATTAGGTTCACAAAGATATCGAAAGCATTCCAATATACTTTTCAGATGCCATGGCTAAGGTCCCAATACAATATAAAGTTTTTACGAAAAACATCTCCTTAGCAACTCCTTGCTCTTCCCCCCCCCCCAAATCACCTGGCGCAACTACATGAACTTGTATATGTGTAGCTGTATCATCAATGAATCATCAAATCATTTCCTGTGTAGAAAAAGTCGTTAGTTGGTGGCAAGAGTTTGTCTGATTTCAAATACTATTTATCCGCAGTCTTTCCTGGTCGAATCAGCCTCCCCCCCCCCCTTCCTCGATATGTCGTCGGTGACGCAGAGTAGAGCCCGTTCCCTCGTGCCCCGAATTCGGAAGTGCTTAAGAAGTTTGAACTTTTTGCAAGTGCAAATTTGAGTGCAGTTTTCGAAGTAGCCGCCCCTGCATTACCTGATTAAATGAAAAATGCAGAGCGTAGACATTTGAGAAAAAAACGAATAGACGTGCGATAGTTGAGGATACCTTCGGAATTACGTACCTTTTTTATATTTGTGATTTTTAGTTAGAAGAAGAGCGTGATGAACTGCGAGAAGAATTCGAGAAAAATTTGCTGAGGCTCCGAATGGCAAATCAACTGCGGAATAAGGCCATTGAAGAACAGCTCGATGATACTGCTGAGGAAATTTTGTTTTGAGCATAAAGCAAAAGTTCTTTAAAAAGCCCAGAGTTGTATATCTTTGATCTGCTTGTAGATCTTTTTGATTTCACTGCGTAAAGATTTGTTACGCTTGACAATCGATAAGGGTTTTGAAAAATTCTAAAAATGTACCTAATTTTATTGTGTGCACTCAACGACTTGAAGTGTGATCAACTTCAAGCTGACTTGGTAGAATTTTTTTATTCCTTGATGCAGGCCAGAACATCAGAGTAAGTGAAATGTTGTTTTTGACATATTGCTTGCTTCACTTTTCGTAGTTTCAAGTCACGAAGACGATATGTTTTGCTCAAAATCCTGTAAGATTCCCCTCACTTGCCGGTTAGATCCCACCGTCTTTCCAGTCCTCTTCATCTTACACATTTGTGTGCGATGGTCATCCAGGTGCAAACATCGAACAAGGGTCGAAGGAAGGGCCGCTATGGGCCGTCATCAGCTAGATATTGGTTTTTCTTATCCCATTTGAAACGACTTGTCAAAACAATAAAACCAAATTGATTAGACATTAACATTTGGAATCTGCACTTTGCTGATGGACTTCAATTTGCTTGTGGCTTGAGACAACGAAAGAAAAATTGTGCAGGTTGTTGGATTTGCAAACAGTTTGCCTACATCTCCTGGTCTAGATAAAGAAAAGGAGCTCGTCATAGCTGTCGGTCCCTTTGAAAAAATTACCCCTGCCTTCCTAACTCTTAGCTGAAATAGACCTCATGAATACGTCAATTTTAGCTAGGCGCAATGCGATAAAGAAGTGAGGAGAAAACTGAAATGATATATGTAAATAACTTTTGTGCAACCATATAGTTCCTTGAGTAGTCAATGACTGCACTTACCATAAAAACAAGTGTGATCAAATAAACTTTGAAAAAGCCTGGAGTGTTTAATTAAAGTCAGGCTTGGCTTTTTCGTTCTCAAGAACTATTTACGGAGTTGTAATAGAGTGTGATTTAGACTCTGATTCTCCTTTTCATACGTTCAAGTTCTTGAAATACCGAAATGAACAAAACTTGTCATTACTTCATAAGGCGATTACAACACAGATTTCACTTGCAAATTGCAAAATTTTCTTTTACTTTGCCACCTTCACTGGATCGGCAGTGCAAATTACGAGACGGGTTGTTTTGTTATCTGTTTAATATGATGATGGATGAATGTGTCAATCTAGACTGGTCGTACTACCCCGACCACCAGGTTTTGAGTCTGTCGCATTCGTCAAAACTTATATTTCAGATCAATGTTGAATGGACTTAACAGCTCAAGACCTCCCTAGATTTCGAAACAAATCGAGAGTGTTTTGAACTCTCACATGTTACTCGTAGAGTGCATCTGCCGCCTTTGACTGATGAGATAGTTATCACAAGGTTTTTCGCTCGTTTTTTGTGCGCACTCACAGCGAACTGATACCATACGCTCTATTGTGTATTTTGTTTCTATTTCCAAGTAAGCATTGAAAGATCGTATCACAAGCATTCTAGGCAGGTCACATTTTCAAAGACAGAAAGAATGTACTGTACTCAGAATGTGACAGATCACGGGTCTGAACGCTGGAGTACGAAGCCCTCAGAGATAAAAAATTATTAGGTCATAAAAACAGCTGTCTCCAAACAGCGGCGGAATGTCTCAATCGATACTTGTAAATTACATGGTCATGAAGTCTGTTGAAATGAAGGATATCCAAAATTCGAGCTGTGATTGTGAACTCCTACTAACTCTTGAAATCAAAGAGAATTTAGGCAATTCATCGACTATTTATTGACAATAAGCCTTACAGGGGAAGGATACTTGGTGACCGTAGCCTTTTAAATATTATGAATTCTATACCAAAAAATGCGCCTCTGATTGCTGGTTCGAATGCTGCCTTTCATATCTGCGAAATGATAATCTGGGTGGGGATATGATTTTTTTCATGAATGGATTGCGCTACGGCGGAGAGTCAAAAACATCAAGAAAATTCCCTTTCCTTTTCAAATGTTGAATATGATTTAGATAGGTATCAATATGTACAACAGTACTCCTTCTAAGGTTCTCTTCGATGGCTTCAAAGGTACCTAGAACAAATTTGGTAATTTAAACTACCAAAATCACGCAAATCTACGATAAAAAGTCCATAACTTCTTTCAAAAGATTCTCTCGCAGACATCGAGCACAGATTTAGAGTCCGCGTTTCGAGATGCATCTTATGGTCTACATCGCAATACAAATGGCATGGCACAGCCACCGAGTATCCTTTCCTTGTTAGACGCGACAATTTTTTTCTTTACACTGCCTGAGATCTCTACTCTAAATGAGCCTGACTAATAGACTCATTACCCATTATACTGTTGTAAAAATTTGCAGGCTAGAACGTTCTCACTTACAATCAAAACAACCCACTAGTCTGCTCTTAGAGTGTGCCTAGGTACGTCTGGGTTAATGAATATCTTGTTTCTTGGGAACTCGACTAGAAAAGCTTCAGCCACTGCTCAAGCAGCATCATTTGATCCGTGCGTAGCCCGAAAATTTTCATTCTATAAACACACAAAAACATCACACGGTATTTGATTCCCTATTCGAGGACGGTGACTGTTCTGTTCATTAAAGAGCATGGCCTTTCGGGGTTACGAATTTCTTGATATTGAAATTAGAAAGATTAGCGCTCATGGCATACAAAGATCACCAAGTTGCAGTGGCCTATTGGGATGTTTGTTTATAATTATATATACTGTAATAATTGAGAGCTTGGAAGCCTGGTCTCAAGCTCGCTCACCAATAGCGAAGCTTTGTTTTTAAAGAAATTCTGATTTATTTTGAAAACCAAACTCGGAGTTTGGCAAATCTAGGAAAACGCACTAATACGACAGCACGAGTTGGTGACTGTCTCTGTCCTATAGGCAACCGGTGAGGACTGAATTATTATTTTCGAACAGAGTCCCTCAAAGTCTTATTCTTCTGAGGCACAAAATGATGTCTAATGGTTTTATGTAATTGCGAGATCCAGACATCAGTTCTTCCTAATTACCAAATGTATAATACCCCGCAAAGAACAAAGGTACATTTGATACCAGTCCTCCAAGTTTTCGGTTTCAGTATACTCCAATCGGCCATCGACTTGGTGACCTTTCCTTGTTAGTATAAGGTCAGTCAGTGCCTACATAAGAAGTGCATGCATTTAGATTTGCCCCGACACCCAATCTAAACTTGCACCATGTTCATAGAATAACAAAGTTTTACAAGCTTTACTCTCCCAGGCCCAGGCTTTCCCCTTTTCCTTGATCTGATGCATTTTCATTCGAAGTTATACATTGACGCGAACATTGGGAGCGATCGATTCGCAGCTCCGCAGAAAAATCTTTTGCTTGGCATTCAACTAGAAAAACGGACCGACAAAAACATGTCAGTTCATTTATGATGACACAATTGCGAAATGGTGTTGACAGCACTTCCGTGGTGCAATCAAGGTAGAGAAGAATAACTTCGAAAAGACCCTGAGAAAATCTTGTTCGTAATATTGTAGATTCGATAGACATTGTCTTCGTAATCAATCAGAGCATGTGTTCTAGGTTACAAAACAATGTGAAGCAACTAAGAAATAGCGAGGGAACGAAATAAAAAATATCTGAGGAACGAGATTTTTATTTTATACAGTAATATTTCGAAAAGGCCATAAAGTAGCTGCGAACTTCATGGCGCGCGTGCTTACATAAGGAAGGAATATATTGCATTTGTGTAAAAAATTGTGTTCTATGCCTCAACAAAGCCAACAAAAGCTCTCCCTCCAACTAATTTGTGCTGAAACTGCAGTTCTCACTGTGCTTGACTGAGATTGACTGAATAGTAGTGCCGGGCGTCCCTATAAACGGTGGGATGCTTCGATGGGAAATCTCGCACCAAATGATCTAGAACCTGCAGAGTAGAGCCGAAGTAAAACAAATGTTAGTCTGGTTTAATATAAATTTAACGACTTCGTACTCACTGCTTCGCTTCAAATTATCGTTTACATCGCTAGTGCACGGGTTGGAAGACAACAGCATTATTTCTTGGAAAAAAGACCAACAACATCGTCAGATAACATACACAAAAAGTCGATGTATTGAAACCAAAAAACATATGCATTACAGAATGATGAAAGTCACGTTTCGGCTGTGAACAAGAAAAAAAGCAAAGAAAAACGAAACAAAAACGAATGCGGCGTTCGATCTCGCAGTTCTCGTACATGACGCTATCGGTGCATAACAAGTTCGAGGACTGATCAAAGCGAGTAGTTTTTTCTTTGTTGCTTTCGTTGATTGCACTCAGGGATGAAGAATAACCTTGAGAAGTTGCACGTATGGTGTGGTTCTGTTTCTCCAACTACTAAAGTCAGAAACATATCGAAAACATCGATCACCTCAGCGATGAAGAATAAGTTCCTTTTTATTGTAAATTACTACATCATCCGTGATGAAAACTAATAAAAGGCACTTTTCCACTTTTTTGCTTGAAAAGAGCTACTGATCTGACGACCAGATTAGTCCAAAAAACTTGTTTTGAACCCATAATCAGAAGAAGTATTATTCATAAGTATACATTCGCCCACAAGATATATCCTGCATTCCAAAATTTCAACAATACTCAGATTTTTTCTCAGTAGTTTTGCAGTCCACACTATCATCAAAGAAGGACGTTTATTTCAAAGGAGTAAAGATAAGCACAAATGCAGTGGTTCAATTAGAGAGAAAACAACTTATCGAGTATAAAAAACAAGCTACCCTAGTTCAACAGAAAATGCAAGTAACGAGAATAATAATAATACAAACCGAACAGACTACTATGAAGAAAGCCACAAGGCACATACGGGGTCACCTAAACTTTGATAATGATTGTTGACTTGAAGTCGGGATCAAATGAGCAACGTTATTGCGAACACAGAACTTGGAAGGAAAACACATAATGGTGAACTCGTAAAAATGAAATTCGTTGATGGTAGCCCCAAGAAATACAGAACTTTGCTGAATTAACTCAACGAGCGAACTGATGAGCCAAAACCGAAACGAAGCGAAGTTTCCGAGATAGAAGAAGCAAGACAATTGCAAGAATCTCATGATAAAACATCGAGCAGGTAAATCACTTCACATGGCAGAGCGGAGAGAGTAAGGAGGAAAGCTCTGCGCAACAGAATGAGATGAAGTGACTCAAATGTTAGACAAACCAAGCACAACTTGACTGGGAAGAGCGGAAATATGTCACAGTTGGCCCTCCAGACATAAAACAATAAGCTGAAATTACCTAACACTATAGAGCTTGACTGAAAGTACATCTATGCATGCGACACTCGTAACTATCAACAATTACAACAAAAACCAAATCTAAAACTAACTAACTAATTTCCTACCAGCTAATTTAACCCTATATACGATTAGAACTCTACTGAAGGATGAGCTGACAGTCTCACTGATCACTTTTAAACATCCACTAATAAACAACTAAAACTCTAAGTACTATGGAACTAGATCTTGTTAGAAGATAGCGAATTTTGGATCGATGTCCAACTCTTTCAGTAACTTCTCAGCAAGAAAACGATCAATGTTGAATGGTTCAAAATCCGGAGGCAGTTCCTTCACTCTATGGTAGGTGACAATGGTCGGATCGACTTCCCCCGTAGGAGTTTCGTGAAAAGATCGCCATGCTGCAAATGGAAAAGGATGAAACCATCGCCAATAAAGAAGAAGCCAACTAAAAAAAGACAGCGAACACATAAGTGTTGCACGAGTCAAAAAAAATATTTTACACAACATCACGGGAGTAATATAAGTTTGAAATAATAGACATAGTTATGTATTCAACGATATTCATGGGCATATGACTTGTGGAAGCTGATAAAGATAAATGAGTAGGAATCAATCACTATATCTTGTTAATAAATGCACATGAACCAGAAATTATTAGAAGCAAGTAAATGGTTTCGTTTGTTGATGCTAAAAGATTTTTAATACAATATGATACAATGCAGCAGAAAGTATAGTTCAATCGAAAAATCGTGACAAAGAATGGCGACGCTTATGCGCGTCGCGTGCATTTTAGCCATTTTTGCTTTGGCCTCTTTTGAGGACACATTGCATGCAAACCATAGCTACTAGAACTTAAGTGGCTGAGCTGAGCACTAAATTAATATCTTTCATATGGGTATCATATACTTTTGTAAGTTTGGCGAGTGCAGAAATCGCAATCGAATCCGTAAACAATTTTGTGAATGTCCCATACGTCATAGCCAAGTTGAGTTGGCCAAATTATTCCCTCATCTACCACTAATCAAGTGAATAAACGCTGAAAAAGCACATAGGAATAAAATAAATTTTGGTTGTTGAAAATCGTCAGCAGCGATTTCATTTACAATAATGCCACGAAAAGTTCACATAGTTTAGCGATCCCTTTTGGTCCTTCTGTTTGATTTATCCTCAAGCTACCACCCTGATCACTGAACTCAAAGTGAGGTTATGTATGCCCGTTATTAGGCCTCCGACAGAGATCACGCGATTTGATCGTCGCGATTTAATCGCTGCGATTTTCATTCATTTCCACTTTATATCCAAAAATTTCGAGCTGGAAAAGTATCACAACCGAAATGCAAGCTGATCGGCATGCAATGAACTCGCAACAGTTGTCTTGCAGCGATTGAATCGCGACGATCAAATCGGGTGAACTCTGTCCGAGGCCTTATGGAAATACGAAAACAGCATCTGTCTTCCCACATACATGACATTATGAATGTAAAACAAAACTGAGTGCACATAACAGGCGCAGATGATAAACGAGTCAGCAACTGCCTAGTAATCTCATGCATCATAATGCAAACATTCTGCAAGGCAAGATACGGGTTAAGGAAAACTGGCACTTTCTTGCTTTTCCAAAAAGATTTTTCCGCCGAAAATTTTCATCCAAAAACAAAATCCTGCTTATCTCACCCGGATGCAATCTCGCAAATTACAGATTACTATTATACTAACATAAATACGTTCGCGGTTTGTTTCTATCTTTTAACACGTTTCGGACCGGTGCTGCACATGGTGCAGCACGCACCTTTAGAGGATCTTTTCAACGTTTACAGGAGGTTTTCTTTTCGTCCAAGGTTATCAAGTCAAATGCCTAAGCTCCTACTTTTCGAAAGGGTCTGTAGAGCTGTGCCATCGATATTTGTTCAGGAGATATAAGGACAAATCGAACAACAGTTGCAATGAAGTGCGGCAACGCGAACGACGCGTGCGACGTCGCAGCTTTTCTTAGCTCTGAATACAAAGAGAAAAACCGTAGTTTCAATAATGATGTCTATCGTGTACAACATAGATACTTTTGGAACGATTAGAAACTGAGTTCTTGTTCCTATCTTTTAAGAAAGCACAGAAGTCCTTATCAGACGACAAAATTCAAACACTTCGGATTCACTCAGAACTCTGGGTATGGATCTTATCTGACATGTAACAGATGTAACACACAATCTACCAATTAAGGTCCCTTTGTTGGCTAACGGCTAAAAGTACCCTCTTTTTCGCCGCGCGCGATTTTGCGGTCCGAAACGTGTTAAAGTAACACGAAAACTTGAAAGAGATGCTTGCAGTCTTGTACGCATGACTGCTTGCAATTAAATAAGATAGGCCAGTAGACAGCTGCACCGAAATAAATACCAGTAGAGAAGCGTCAAACTGCCTGGCGCCAAACTGCGAGTTGCAAAAAAATGTTTTGTATCTAATGTAAGAAAGTTTCTGATGCAAATAGATCAAGATAAACAGATAAATCTTGAAGTAAGGATGAGTTCTTTTCCACGTACACAACCTAAGATTCCAGTCTCAGATACCCCCGCATAGCTTATTTGACCTGCTGGTCATACCTATCATTTCCCTTCATACTATTAGCCGATTGAGCGTGAAGGCAGCGCCCCCGTGCAAGAAATCGATTTTGAGATTTTGTGCTTATTTGGGCCTATTCGCTATGCTACATCCGAAAATCACATTGGAGAGCGCGAAAACGGCGAAAAAGGGCTGTAACGCAGGAGGGGGATCAACATATGGGCGCGGTCTTTTACTCTGTGAAGTCATCCTCCCAGCTTCCGAAGCGATCTCATCTCCGCTAGCTGCCCTAACATCCTGGCCTAACTGGGAATGCAAAATTGGAACCGAGAAGATTATTCTTAAAGCTGGGAAAGCAACTGCATAGAGTGAAAGGCGCTCAAATGCTGATTTGCCCTTTCCGCCATTATCGCGCTCCCACGAGTGAGTTTTCATAGCACAGGGGATAGGTCCAGGTAAGCACAAAATCTCAAAATCGACTTCTTGCCCGTATACTGCCTTTTACAACGCGATAGGCCCCCGCTGAATCTCGTAGTAAGGTCTGCAACCACCGTGGTCAGCATGCCAAATATTTGTGATCAGCATGCCAGCTGACTCCCCCCTTCCCCTCCCCCCCCCCCCTTCCATGCAAAGATTTTGACAACTCCGTGATTTCAACTTATTTCCGCTACCGATACCCTACGAAACGCGCTACCTTGTGAAATGAGTCGTTTTCGTAAGCATTGAAACGTCTCCGTAGGAAGTCATTTTCCCTGTACAAAAAATGTGAAATCAGAAATCAAAATTCAAACAGCTTGTGTGATGCTGCAGACGTTTTTATGCATTCCGAAACGAGAGTACGAGCGGTCGCGATAAGAGATGAACTTTGATCCACGATACTCTTACAACACGAACTTCGCAACTGTGAGACCGCGAAACGCAAACAGTAGCCGATGATGACAAGGATGATAAAGAGATAGTGCTAGTCACATGAGCAACGAGAGAAAGCAAAAACAAGCAAGAAATGACGAGCAGAAGCTGCATCGATTGAAGAAAAAAGTGAAAAACAAATGTTTACAAATTCGAGTAAGCGTTGGAATCAGAGCAGTTTCGTCATGATAGTACTTGAACGAAGTTTCAAATCGAAAAGCAGCGCATGTAAATTATCAGACTGCCCAAAGAATGAAGAGGAAATGACAAATAACTGTTCAATGTGCTCGAGCAAGAGACAACAGACTGCGCGCAATGTTTCAACATAGATACACCAATGATCCAACCGAAAAATGCTAAACATCACATCATAAAAAAACTCACAGTTATGGAGGAATTCAATCTGTTGCTCAACTAAAGGAGATGAAGGCGTAGATGGTGGCGTAAGAGTCAACGGTGTTTCGTTGCGCTTCACTTTGGCCTTGTTGAAGATTGGGACGGGACTGGAATAAGTTAACAAAGGTTTAAACATTGCATGCAAGAATACCGAAATGGATGATATACACTTTTCTAACAAGGGAAGGATACTCGGTCGAAGTGGCCATTTGGAATGAGCTGTATATTAAGAAACCGTCCTCCGTAAGGCAAACTCAAAACTACTTTCGCTAGGTGCCGAGCGGTTTTGTGGGGGGAGTTACAAGGCCATTTTCCTCCGGCGCAGCCAGCGCACCCAGTGATGAGCGAGGCGCTAGAATAGCGTAGCAGTGTGGCAGTGGCGCAGTGGCAACGCAGCGGACTACGAAGCAGATGGTAGAGGGTTCGCGTACTGTTGCTGCTATTTTGTTTTGCAGTTCTGTAAAAAGTCTATTGGGTGACAGCAAACGAGAAATACTATTTCTAGGCAGTCGAAACAAGCTAGTTACTGCAAAAAAGCCACTATTTCTGCAATAAGCTATAATCTTCTAAAATATGTAAATCTGTGGAGGTTATGATGTCACAACAAGGGATTCAAGTGATATATTAACATGTATGGAATACAACCACAAAATGCTCAAAGTAGAAGAGCTTCTCGCAGCGCGCACATCGGATAAAATAAAACGATGACAATCAGCAGCTTCACAATTGCCTATCAAAGTCGGTGAAAAACAGTACTGAATAGTAGACTCGAATTCGCCGGGGTGGTTGTCAATGTATCCGGCTGCATCCATGGGTATGAAAGCAAATTTTTGAATTGCGGCGAGCAAAATTGTGTGTAAATGAGCGATAAGATCTTAAGGATGGAAGCCCTATGATGCAAGGTAAAGTTCAGATCAAGAGCCAATAAATGGGATGTGAATCGATTGCAATTTTGCAAGTGCGCGCGTTGCGAGAAGCTCTTCTACTTTGAGCATTTTGTGGTTGTATATCATACATGTTAATATATCACTTGAATCCCTTGTTGTGACATCATAACCTCCACAGATTTACATATTTTAGAAGATTATAGCTTATTGCAGAAATAGTGGCTTTTTGCAGTAACTAGCTTGTTTCGACTGCCTAGAAATAGTATTTCTCGTTTGCTGTCACTCAATAGACTTTTTGCAGAACTGCAAAACAAAATAGCAGCAACAGGACGCGAACCCTCGACCATCTGCTTCGTAGTCCGCTCCGTTGCCACTGCGCCACTGCCACACTGACTGCCGCGTTATTCTAGCGCCTCGCCCCTTACTGGGTGCACCAGCTGCACCGGAGGAAAATGGCCTTGTAACTCCCCCCACAAAACCGCTCGGCACCTAGCGAAAGTAGTTTTGAGTTTGCCTTACGGAGGACGGTTTCCTAGTATACAGCTCATTCCAAATGGCCACTTCGACCGAGTATCCTTCCCTTGTAAGCAAACGAGAAACGCAGAACTTTAAGAGAGAGTGCGGATGCAATCCAATCGATCACTATGGTAACGTAGATGCCTACAAAAACGTCTCGCGCAAATTTCTATTCGTAACATTTCAAAAGAAAAAAAAACTAAATGAAATGAGATAAGATGCAAAAAAAGGTAGAAGACCTTACATTTCTGCTTGTAGGAGAAACTGGTCGAATTCTTTCTTGGGAGAAATACCTGGAATGATGGTAGTCAAAAAATGCGACATTTTTCCCACACAAAAGATTGGAACATGCTACATAGCTGCGATAGTAGATCTCAGTAAGAGCAGAGGAGTGAAGTGTCCAGTGAAGTGTGTCAATACGTTCCGTCCAGCAAATTTCTAGCAGCCAGATTTCAATGTCACCAAACTCACTCGATCGTTTATCACCATTTTTTTGCAATGCCTTCGGACGCTGGTAGTTGTAACTCGTTCGTTGCTTGTGCTGAATTGATGGTAGCGCGGTCCGGGCAACAGCAGAATGTCCCGCCTTGTACATCTCGATTCCTATGAGGGGAAGTTTTTAACGCAATGTTCTAAGCGATATAGGAATCTTCAAAAGTAGATTCGCTCAAAGATGAAAGAACTGGAGACAGAGAGCGGAAATGAAAAGATGATCCCTGCGAGCACCGCATGCTACGGCGCTGCAAGTGACGAGCTGTCAAACGCCGCAGAGATCTGCGGGCGGAGCCGAGAGGGCATTGCAAGCGACGCGCCCCTAGATTTTTCGCATAATCGTCGTTGTTTGGTGTAGCGCCGTCGCAAATACAATCAATCTCAATTTTTTTTCGAGTAAAACAACCGCAAAAATATATCGTCTGACAAATGTCCACCACCTCCCTGAAGCGGGTGAGTGTATCTGCTTGTTGTTTGCTCCCAAGAACTTTCTGCGAAAGACGGTCCATTGGTTTTTTAGTCGTCTGCTGAGGAGGAATTAGAGAAACAATATCGGGATTACAAAGCACAGTTCGATCAGTGGAAGGAGAAAAACAAGTAAGCTCACTTTTTCATTCAAACTCGTCATATTCTTACTTTCCGCTTGTATCCAGTCCTTATCTATCATGACTTATAATAACGGGCTAAGGATGTTTACGTGACTTTGTGTGTGTGTGTGTGTGTGTGTCTGTCTGTTACGAAATTCGTGGAGCGTGTTCCAGCCAACGTTCTAAGCCCAAATTTTGTATAGCGCATGCTACCTTCGTGAAAGCCTAACATGCAAAAGCACGAGTAGATTCGTTGAGTGGATCCCTCAGAATTTGCGCGCCAAACGGGTCCATCTGGCTTCTGTACCGCAAAAGTCGGTGCGTATCACCACTTTTTGCAGAGTCGTGGATGAGTTTGGTAAGCAAATGTGCAAGCGATGGAGTTCAGCCAGAAAAGTGGTCGAAAGCTTACTCTATAACGAAAACGGCGCCATAACGAATTGGTTGTGTAAATGGTCAATTTGCCAAGGTTCTAGCTAAGCGTTTGGGAAGATTTTCGCACAGAGATGTAGCTCACGGTTATCGTTACCTTTATGGCGACTACCAAGTCATGACAAACCCAAAAACCTATTCAAATTTGCGTTTGTCTTCCTGCGAAAAGTTTCATCCACTCGAAATCACCGATCTCACGTGAAAAGATTTTCTAAATGAGTGGTTGTTTACATTTTATTCGTGGTAGTCGGCATAGTGCGGTGAGTTCCACTGCCACGATTTTACGAGAATGAATAAGGCACATAGATAGTAGAGCCAGTGCGAACCTCTGCGAAGCAGAGGTGACGCACTGGTATATATATAAAACTCAAAAATTGTCAGTTTGGAGGGTATGTGCGTTATAGAAAGGCGCACCGCTCAACCGATTCAGCTGAAACTTTGCACACATATGTTTTCGACCCCTGCGCAGATGATAGGCTACTTTTCGCAGCGATTCGTTGGGTCCTTCTATCGATTTATTGATTTGTTTACGTTTTTCTAAGGAATTGAGGGTTTATCATGTTCAATCAAGCATTTTACCATAGTCTGTAAAGAAGGGCGGTGAAGCTTATTTTCATCTCAGGATCACGAGGATGCGGTTTCGAAGCGGGTTCCAGGGTAAGTCATCCACAACATATAAGAAGGGGGGGGGGGGGGGTTTTGCAGTGCAGGTGACTAATGGCCCGGGCTGGACCGGGAAAGCCAACTAGTATATTATAAATTAGAATAGGTCATTTTCCTTTTGCTCAATATTGTATGTTATACTGTGCCTTATGTTCCGCAGTACACAGATCGGCTTCAAGCTTCAGACTGTTGAGACTCTGCTCTAGATCAGTAAGCTGACAATGGAAATGACTAGAAACATCTCACATAGTATATATTACTTCTGTAGTGAATTATTTACAGCTTGCACGATGGTTCAAATTCTCAGAAGCTTTTGCTTTGCATAGAGGAATTTAGACCTGCTGATCATGAATATCGTATCCAACGTCGTACACCTTAATTTTAGACTGATGATATTTTACTACATATTTTCTATAGCTTGCAATGAGAAATCACCACAACTAATGGATACAAAAATGGTGATCAACATGCTGAACAACTTCTTCTCCTCTCCCGTGAAAAAATTTGAGCAAAATTTGGGATCTGATCCTTTGCCGTATACTTTAAAAGCGTTGGGTGTAACAAAAGGTCATAAAGGCAGCGGCTCGGCAGAATTTCGTTTTCCAGTTCTTCACGTTTTCGGAGCCTTCTCGTCGTGAGAAACCCTTATCTGGGCTTTTCAGCGCATGAAAATGGCAAAAATGCGCTTTTTTTAAAAGCTTTCCAGGTCAGCCTTCAGTGCAGAAGTGGGCGGGGCTGAACGCAAAAGGCGGACCGCGGTTTTTTCTAGCGTATCTTCAATGAATGCGGGCCCAAAAAGCTTTGGAAAAAGCGCATTTTTGCCATTTTCATGCGCTGAAAAGCCGAGATATGGGTTCCTCATGGCGAGAAGGGTCCGAAAAGGTGAAGAACTGAAAACGAAATTCTGCCAGGCCGCTGCCTATAACCTCCGACTTTCTGAGAAATTCATACAAAGTAACACTTTCGCAACCAGCGTATGAACCTCATGTACAGTTTTGAGTTGCCTTGAGATTATAAATCGGAGTAAGTAGTAATTCAAGAAGCCCTGTTTATAGTATGTTTCTCTCAGTCAGGCTAAAATTGGCATGGCGAGAGTCTGCGTCGCTTTGCGTTTTGCGTAACGTCTTCGGTTTGCTTGTCTGTACTTTCTTCAATCTCTTTGCCCTTTCCGACAGTGCGCATACGCAGCGCAAACGCTTAGCGCTGCTAGCGCGCAAACCGACTGAGAGAAGCTGGACGACTGTATTCTCTTAAACTTTGATAGAGATGTATGGGTCAGACGAAGGTGAAATTAAGCAACTTCCAAGTGTCCAAATACCAAACTGAAAAAAAATGACTTCTGCTTATCTCTAACAGTGCATAATCTTACATCCTTAGCGGCAAGTGCTGTGCTTGAACGCAGCGCACGATAAATTTGACGGTGGTTTAAACTATGATGAGCAATCTTTTTCTTCTCCTGAAAGGAGTACGCAATTTTTCAATAATTTTTTTCTCTTCTTTCCATGAAATTTATGTGCATTTGCAGTGGCGGTTTAACTGCCCTCATTATCATCTTCTTTTATCGAGTAAACACTCATCAAGTATGTATTTGTTAAATTGTTTTTTAGAAGCTCGGTCGGCACCGAGGCGTATGATGCCTACGTCAAACAATTCCAGGAATGGGAGAAGGATGTAGAGAAACGAAGAAAGTCTTTGCGAGAAAAGGTGTTTACAACCTATTTTTTCCCTTTTTAGTATTGTCTTTGTCGTTACTTAGAAAATGTGTCTTCTGCAGTCTTATTGCAACGTTTATGCTCATTGTCATTCTTGATGACCATGTACCGCTACTTATTGCGGTTGTTATGTCATTTGTGCTTGATTCTGGAATCACATCCCATTTCACGAAAAGGGGAACCCAACCTTAAAACATTTCCAAATTCATCATAAGATGGTGCTAAAGATTTTCTTTGGAAGTTTTAACAGCATCTCATGAAGTCAACCTGATGAGACCATGTAGATGATTATTATTACAACGCTGGCTTATCGAAGCAACATTCTGAAGGCTGTTGGTTAGTAATAATTTGATTCTAGGCTGAACGAGAAGCAAATGATCTCAAAGCGCAAAAAGAGGAGGAGGAAAAGGCTAAACGCCTTCAGGAAGCAAAAGAAGGTATCTTGGAGTTTGTAATCTGTGAATTTGGTGTTTCTTTTGTACATGATCTGCTCGAAATTTAGCTGAAGCAGCAGCAGCATATGCACAATCACAACAGGCCTACATGGCACATCATCAAGCTGCTCTAGAAAAGGAACAACAACGGGTACAGGTGTTCCCCTCCTCGAAGCAACGTTTGAGCTCTCACTTTAGGCCCAGCAACAAGCAGCACAACTCGCACAGGTCGTTGCTCAACAGCAACAGCAGCAGTTTGCGCAGGTACCTATCGTGGCTCAGGTTTCCGCGCAAGTGTCACATGGACAAAGTATGCAGAACGTATCTTTTGATTTCACCAATGCTTTCTACTCAAAGGTGACCTCAACGCTGAAAATGTTTTCAAAGAAATGGTGAATGTTGTCATGGGTGGTGCAGCTGCTGCATTGGGCACAGGTAGGTTTTTTCCTATTTTTTTTTATTCCAAAATGGATGCTCAATATTTCCTCCCAATGATATGTATCTAGCTGTGACACAGCAGCCGCCTCCTTCCATGCCTGGTGCTCCCGGTCCTGCTGGGCCTCCTCCGCAGCTGTGGGGCAACACGAAAACGACCTATGATGTAAAGGTGAGGTCAATGTCTTCTCTTGCATTACAGTGTAAATCTTTAGGCTTGTTCATTTTTGCATTTGAAAGCGGTGTTTTAGGTGTTTAGCCTCACTTGCATGATTTTTGAAGTAAGGCCTCGGACAGAGTTCACACGATTTGATCGTCGCGATTCAATCGCTACAAGACAAGTGTTACGAGTTTATTGCATGCCGATCAGCTTGCATTTCGGTTGTGATACTTTTCCAGCTCGAAATTTTTGAATGTAGGATGGAAATGATTGAAAATCGCGGATTGAATCGCGACGATTAAATCGCGATACGCGACTAATACGCGATCAATACGTGCTGCTAGGGTATATCCGTGGTTACTTCTCATCGTGAAACCTTACCACCACTCTCTTGAGAGTACCTCAATATGAAGCAAAAATAATGTAGATAGTTATATGTCAACATCGATTAACATTGTCTCTTTTATTGTCGCCGAAAATAATGTGTGTAGTTTTAGAACAGTCCTATAAGTCTGATAGGCAGGAGGGATAGGGATTTGTTTTCGAGAGCAAAGTTATTTTTCGTGGGAAGCAGAGATTTCGCATATGTATGAAGTACCTTTACATATAGATCCCTGAAGCGCTTTCATGTTCCTGCTTGCTCCACATTATTTTCATCTGGTCGATTTTCTCCATCAATCATCACAAAAAATGCCGGATAAGCTTGAATTCCTGGTATATACACGTGTTTAACCACTGTTTCACTCACGCTATCAAAGGTTGTCGCAGGTTAAACGAGCGAGCTAAAACTCCCACTTTTCTTATCTACTCATACATTCTAGTACGCTCAGCGCGCTCAGGCGCGTATCAAGTAGTGACCATAATTTACCGAAGATTTCCGGTACTTTATCAGGAAGGGAGCAGCAGCTTCCTTGAGCTGAGCGCGCAACCAGCCAAGAAAGTGCGAATTTTGCTTCTTTTGCACATATGAAATTTTCCAAGCAGTCATTTTTTCGAATCTAAGGGTGGAACATAGCGGTGATTGCGATAGAAGAATCTTCTCTGTTTTGTTTTGCCGTCCTGCGGGAATTTGATTCGATTTTCGCAAGATAGATTTTCCTGGTCATTGATACTGTTGACTTTTTTCGTACAAGTCATTGCCGCGCGTTCATAAGCTTATTTGTTACCATTAGCAAGCTTTTGAGTAAGCTACCAGTGGGTAATGGTTCGGGAGACGCGCATCTTAACCTCTTCCATGCCAATTCAACGCATTCCATTTTCAAACTGTTGGTTACATCATTTCCAACCTATGTTGCTCTAGTTTGTGCTCGAACTTCAGGGTGTTTTTCAGGATCCGCTTTTCTTGCGGTGGGGTGTACGAGCAGCTCCAGCACATAATCCTCCAGTCATTCGACCTCCCATGGTGCGCAAATTTTATGAGTCTGATTTCATTTATAATCTATTTTCCAGCCCGTCGGACCTTGTTGGATGGTTGAGAATGCATTGAAAGAGAGAAAGATGGCTATAGCGCCAGCACACCTTCCACCTCCGATGTTCATTCAACCACCTCCCCCAATGTGATAATCCACGTCATAATTGTATTTACAATTATAAGTTTCATCGCTCTTATCATTTTTCTTGTTACGGTTCCTCTTTTTCTCACAGTCGATGAAATCGACGTCTGCTCACCCATTCTAATTTTTCATTCTCTTCAATGTTTCCTTGTGTATCAACCTCATTTGCACGTCTCTAGATAAATATAATAGCATCAGTAGGTTTTACTCAATCTTTTGGATATGGCCGCCTTCAGCTGCCAGCCGCAAATAGTTGTTTGTCTCGTCGTTGCACCACAAGAGATTTTAATCCGCGAAGAGATCTAGTATTAGGGTGATCGGTAAAAAATGGGGCAGCTTGATTTTTATGAAATTTTGAGATTTTTTGTTTCGATCAACAACAAGCAGGCTGCAACGTAAACGTCGCTTATATAAGCGGCCTTCGCCTATGATTCTGGCAAAGCCTCAACGCTCCTCTCTCACAACCTTACGCGTGGCGCCTGAAGAACGCGAACAGGGTTTTTTGAACAGCGCTCATTCTTACGCTGCCATACCGTAAAGTTATAGAGCATTTGATATATCATTCGAAAGAGCTCTTCGTGCTCTTTCAAACATTGTATTGAACATACAGGATTATTTTCTACTTCTTGGTAAAAAAAGCGAAATACCTGAAAAATCGCGATTTTTTGGCGCAACAAAAACCAATAAATCAAGTTTCAATCTGTATTTTCCAAAGATAGATAAAATGTGAGGTAAGCTGCATATGGATGGATAGAGCGCAAAAAGCTCTTTCAGATGGTACCTAGAAAACTTGCGTTCACCTGCAAAGAATTGAATAGCACGTATCTTTGTTCTCAAGGCTGCTAATGGCCATATCTCCTGAATTTGAAAGTTGAGGCCAGCAATCCATCATGGGTCTGGTGACTGTACCTTCAAGCATTGCAGCAGTAGTACTTTGGATGGTTTCGTATGTTTTACTGCGCAGATACTGCCGGAAGTTTATAATTTGTTAAAGTGACTAACTTTGCATTTCAGCCACTATAAAAATTATTAGGTACTAGTTGACTTACCCGGCTCCGCCCGGCCCTGTCATTATTATATTCGTAATCAGCACGACCTCCCTGTGCCAACTCCCAGCACCGTAGCTCAAATTTTGCAAAAAAGCGATAGAATCGATATCGATCGATGACGAAAAGTAGCCTATGACACCCGCTGAGGCCCGAAGTGTATGTGTGCCAAGTTTGGTCCGGATCGGTTCAGAAATGGAATTTTCTATTCGGAACATACGTACAGACAGACAGACATACAGACAGACAAACAGACATTCAGCTTTATATATAAGATGTAAATGACCCTATATGGGTATTTTCTGAAAGAGAATAATTTATTCTAACACTAATCAAAATTGGGAAGTTTAATCACTTTTCTTTTTTGAGAAATCTACATTTATTCCCTAGGTGCCCCATTTTTTACCGATCACCCTAATATATAAAGAATCGTTAACTCAATTCAAAACATGCAAATAGCGGGAAACCGCGTGGCGGTCCGAAGCGAACTCTCCTTCAAATAGCACCTTTAGATTACTGGTTCATTAGTTAGCAGTACTAATAATTTCGGATATCTTGAAGTTTATGGAAGCTGCGGCTCAAGCGCTAACCTAACAAAGGCCCTTCTTTTGCGAACTGAAGAATTAACCTGTGATGAATTGTAGATTATGCTGCATCCAGAGCTCGGTACAGCGTCTTTTTTCATAAACGAGATCCCATTTGACGGAAAAGCTTCATAAAGTTACTTTCTAGATAACCCTATTTTCATCCCACTCTCAAAGATATTCCTGTTTGGTAGAAACTAACAGTAAACCACAAAATCAGACTCAAAGTATGGCTATAACTGGGTACGCGGATAGAGAATAGAAGACTGGGAAAACATGTTATGAAATTCGGATAAGTGAAAATGAACAAATAAATAAAAATGGAACCAAGTGTGGGGTCAAGGAAAATGGTATTGGGAGGAGGGGGGGGGGGACACAGTAGGACTAGAAGGATGAGGCAAATGCTTAGATCGAGTAAGGAGAGGGAAAAGCTGCTAGAGCTTTGAATGTCCTAATCTTGAAGAGTGATTTCGGTAAAGTGAACGGTATGAAAATCAAGTCCACTGTAAAAGTTCCATCAAGTTGCGGAATCTTGACCCCTTACCGTAAATTTACAGTAATTCAAGAGGCCCTCTCAGGCAAAAATACCGGACGAGCGGCCAGAAGTACCGGCCGAGCGGATTTCACTTTTCCGGGTCGTCCGGTAGACGCGAGCGCTCGGCCGGTATTTTTGCCTGAGCTGCTATACGGAATGCGTGTGATTTTCGTAACCAGCAAATTTCTACATACTAGGCGTTTGGAATTTTTGGCTTAATTGCTCTGCGATGCAAATTTCTGTACGCTTTTTGTTCTAAAGAATACCGCAAAAATTTTGTATTTTTTTGGAAGACAAGAAATTTTCTTTTTTCTGATCTGTTACATTGACCGCTGTGAAAGGAAGCAGTTTCGCGTTTTCCAAAGCCAAAGTTGCAATACACATAGTTTACTTTTTTTGTATACAGCGAAAGTCCTGCATTAGCTTCGCGATTAGCATTTCGAAGCGCAAAAGCAGAGCAACAACTGTGTAAAAATTTTCTACTTGGAAATTTTTCGAAATCTTGTCAGCACTATTCTCTCGCTGGACATTGTGCATGTATTGTGCATGTTTACAACATTTTCAAAGTTACCAAGAAAATTCCAACAAAATGAAAGGAAAAAGTCTCTGGGCCAAGTCTCTTGCTTTTCAGAGCAAGGTGCTCTGAAGTAAATGCACTTCTCCTTGTAAAAATATTTTTTTTGAAATCAGATTTTTGACTGATGAGATGTATTGAGCTGTATGACTATTTTAGGCCTCGGACAGAGTTCACGCGATTTGGTCGTGGCGATTCAGTCACTAAAGACAAATGTTACGAGTTCATTGCATGCCGATCTTCTTGTAATTCGGTTGTGATAGTTTTCCAATACGACTAATCGTAACTAACTATCAACCGAAATACAAGAAGATCGGCATGCAATGAATTTGTAACACTTGTCTTTAGCGATTGAATCGCGACGATCAAATCGCGTGAACTCTGCCCGAGGCCTTAGGCCCCGTGCAGACTTCACGCGATTTGATCGTCGCGACTGAGTCGCGACGAGACAACTGTTACAACATCATTCCATGTCGATCAACTTGCATTTCGGTTGTGATACTTTTACAGCCCGAAATTTTTGAATGTGAAATGAAAATGAATGGAAATCTTGGCGATTAGATCGCGACGATTAAGTCGCGTGAAGTCTGACCGGGGCCTTACACGTATCATCTATTCTACGACTAGGAGACGCCTGACCGCGGTGCGGACATTGTCTTAACATGTTCGAGTTTGTTCTTCCCTGTTTCCGAAGAGTGAATAAAAGTGGGCGAGATGAATGACAAGTATAAACCTGCTAAATACACGATTAAGCTTGTTTAGACAATGTGTGCAAAGCGGTCTCGCGTCTCCTAGTCCTAGAATGAATGATAGATAAATGACTAAAACCATAGATTTGTTCTTTGAGGATCTAGTGTTCCCTGGGCTTGGCGAGCGCAATAAAATGGCATAATTTGAGTCGAAATTATGTACCAGAAACTTTTCAACCTCTTTCAACATATTCAGTTTGTCTATGTGTCTGTCTGTGTCTATGAGTGTTTCCGCTTGTTCTCATATATCTCTGTATATTAGTCGGTGCAAAAGTTTATCGTTTCATTTCCAAGAAAATCGTAACTACTCCCTGTCTGCACAGATTTGTTTTGCTGTGCAATTTATTAGAAAGTGGAAGCCTTCTATTTTTTAGAATGCCTTAGCGAGTTCCTCCTGAGCACTGCTCCGAAAATAAAATTAGATAAATAAGATAGCGTCGACCATCTTGAGTTGAGTCGCCAAAAATCAGGAACGTTGCGGAGAAATCCGGAATTGTTGCATTGGTTTTACGACCTACTCTTTCCAGTTGTGAAAAGTTTGTGCCAATCGGACGTAACCATAAAAGTTATGGTTTCGGAGAATAATGACAAATTGATTGATACGGGCATTTTCTACTGCAAATTCAAAAATCGTAATTTTCATAGAGACGTTCAATGAGCACAAACTTTTCACAGTTAGAAAGAGTATGTCGTAAAACTTATGTATTGAAAATTCCGGCATTTCTGAAATGTTTCTGATTGGCGACCTAACCAAAAATGATCAAATCTTGAATAACATTCTTTATCCCTCGGAAGGAACAGCTAAGAAAGTATCCCTTTCCCCACAGTACAGCGGGCGGAGCTTTGCCGACGTTTGCCAACGTATGCGCTTGGCAGTTTTTGGCAGCTAGAGAGTACAAAAATTAATGCTTTAGAGTGGAGGTTTAGCAAGTTTTTTTAACGTGTTCAAATGTCTGCAGGCCACGCCCGCCATACGCATGGTAAACGCCCATACTAAAAAATAGAAGGCTTCTTCTTTCTAATCAAATTACAGCAAAGCGATGTCCAGACAGGGAGAAATTACGATTTTTTGAAAATGAAACGACAGAACTTTTGCACCGACTTAACATATAAAACTCAAAAATTGTCTGTTTAGTGGGTATGTGCGGTGAAACGAAAGAAACGCGCGCAATGCACATGGTGTAAATAATGAAAGTAAAGCTCATTTTTATTTCGCGAACAAAATGTAACCACTCGAAGCAAGTTCTGAGGTAAGCACATGCAGGAGGAAGGGGGCGGGGGGGGGTGCTCAGTGCGGTACAGAGATAGCAGAAAGGGAGCAGGAGATAGTGGAATGCACAGTAATCGTGGCAGAAGGAGGCTAAAGCGAACGGAAAAGTCGGGAAGAAGAACGAACAAATTATGACTTTTTTTCGTACTCCTGAACGATGAGGGCTGAACCGGCAAAGTCAGCCAGTCATATAAAAGTCAAAGTTTGTGCAATTCTTGGTCGTATGTTTTTTATAGACTCCTTTGTGCTTGCACCGATTAAGCTGAAATTTTGCACATATTTTTTTACGACCCCATTTATGGTTTCAAGCTCTTCGAAACGATTCGCTGAGCTCTTTCATCGATGTAAAGATTTTGGCACCTTGCAATGGAAATAAACACATATTAACTGCTATCAAACCGTTTGCACATCTTACGATTAGTGCAAACAATGCAGTGAAGTTCATTTTCATTCTGAACTAAAGAAGATGCAGTTACTCGAATTAACCTTTGCGGTAAGCTCATGCAGAATATGCAGGATGGTAGGGAGGGGGCTCCTAGTGCAGTATTGAGACAGCAAGGGGCATAGGACGTGCCTGAACCGAACGAAAAAGAGGGAAGGAGGAATGACAAAGTTTGGCTTTTGGCCATCCTCCTGAGCAATGACCCGCACTGGGCCTGGAAAGCCAGCTCGTATCACATAAATGAATATAGCAACCGTCTGCGAGTTTTTTTTTCAATCATCTATGACTTAATAATAACAGGCTAAGGGTGTTTACGTCTGTTTGTCTGTGTGTCTGTGTGTACGTCTGTCTGTCACGAAATTCGTAGAGCGTGTTCCAGCAAACGTTCTAAGCCCAAATTTTGCATAGCACATGCTACCTTCATGGAAGCCCAATATGCAAAAGCACGAGTAGATTCTTTGAGTGGATCCCTCAGAAATTGCGCACCAAACGGATCCACCTGGCTTCTGTACCTCAAAATTCGGTCCATATCACCACTTTTTGCAGAGTCGTGGATGAGTTTGGTAAGCAAATGTGCAAGCGATGGAGTTTAGCCAGAAAAGTGGTCGAAAGTTTACTCTATAACGAAAACGGCGCCATAACGAATTGGTTGTGTAAATGGTCAATTTGCCAAGGTTCTAGCTAAGCGTTTGAGAAGATTTTCGCACAGAGATGTAGCTCACGGTTATCGTTACCTTTATGGCGACTACCAAGTCATGACAAACCCAAAAACCTATTCAAATTTGCGTTTGTCTTCCTGCGAAAAGTTTCATCCACGCGAAATCACCGATCTCAAGTGAAAAGACTTTCTAAATGAGTGGTTGTTTACATTTTATTCTTGGTAGTCGGCATAGCGCGGTGAGTTCCAGTGCCATGATTTTACGAGAATGAGTAAGGCACATAGATAGTAGAGCCAGTGCGAACCTCTGCGAAGCAGAGGTGACGCACTGGTTACCTTACAACCTGAGATGGGCCGCCGGTGGTTAGTACGGAGAAAGGTCAGGGAGCATGCTGCTTGAGAAAAGACATTGGGGCAGTGAGCTATCCCATACCTAGAAATGAGAGATGGAAAGGGGGATGTTGTATGGAAGTGGTGAAAATATTGAGCTTGTATCGAGCTTATATCGGTACATCACAGGGGACCAGTAAAGCTGGGTATCCCGACTGTCACTTCTTTCGACTCTACAACTTTTACTTTCTCCAGCAATGACTCATGTTCTCCTAGTTTTCAATATGGATTGTACGTTACCATTCGACAGAGCAATGCAAGCTCTACTAGACTGCCCTTAATTTTTGCTTAACACGTTTCGGACCGCGAAATCGCGTGCAGCGAAAAAGAGGGTACTTTCAGCCGTTAGCCAACAAAGGGACCTTAATTCGTAAACTGTGTGCCACATATGTATTCAGCATGTCAGATAAGATCCATACCCAAAGTTCTGAGTGAAGTCGAAGTGTTTGAATTTTGTCGCCTGAGAAGGACTTGCGTGCTTTCCTGAAACATAGGAACAAGAACTCAGTTTCCAGTTGTATCCAAAAGTATCTATGTTATACACGATACACATCACTGATGGAACTACGGTTTTTCTCTTTGAATTCGAAGCAAAGAAAAGTTGCGACGTCGCACGCGTCGTTCGCGTTGCCGCACTTCATTGCAACTGTTGTTCGAATTGTCCTCATATCTTCTAAACAAGTATCGGCGGCACAGCCTTACAGAGTGAAAAGGAGGAGCTTAGGCCTTTGACTTGATAATTTTGGACAAATAGAAAACCCCCTGCAAACATTCAAAAGACCTCTGAAAGGCGCGTGCTGCACCATGTGCAGCACCGGTCCGAAACGTGTTAAAGTTTGTTTCACATATTTGAAGCCGATTCAAAAATCCAAACGCCTGAAATGTCAAGAGAAACCTATACTCTATAGAAAATCCCTATGAGCTTCCTACTTGGCAGATTCTTTCTATCTGGTATTACCTGTAAATTTGCTCATTTTTTCCAAGGCTAGGACTCGAGAAACCTACAGGGTGTCCCAAAAAGACTTTGCGTACTCTTATGCAATAAAGTCTTTCGAGAAGCTTTGGGTACCATTTTGTAGAGCTGGCTTCAGCTTCTACAGCATGGTGGGAATCAATCGCTCTTCATCACCGTAGGATTACGGTAGGAACTTTGAGGAAGGTTTTGAATAGATAAGGATCATATTTCATCCATAGTACCACAGAAATAAATAAAAAATAATATAAAATAAATTTAGTAATGCAAATATAGAACCAAAGAAACAGCTCCTACACTAGGTCAGTCAGAGTCTGATTTCAAACATGAAGCTAAGAAGTTATGGTTATACTTCCAAAGGTTCATACAATAGGTTTACCTATTTGAGAACAGTCCAGTGCAACTTTGGCAAAAATATGGAAATTATCTTCTCCATTTCTAGCCGTGGAACGAATAAGCAGATGTTATACATACTGGATAGTGCATGTCTGAGCAAGTAGGAAGTACGTGGAAATTTTTCGGAAGGAGATGGGACTCCTCGACCTTTCGGGCATTTAGATCCTCTTAAATTTCGGCTTCGAACTTAATGTAGGACAAAATTTGAGCAAATTGGGGGCTACATTGAAGAGCTTGCTTTGCTCTGTCGAAAGATACCGCAAAACCCATTGATGAAGCAAGAACCGTATGAGTTATTGCGAGAAACTAAAGACGGTAAGAAATTATGAGACACCGTGATATTACCTGCTATGATCTCTTGTATTCCGAACGTCTTCAAAGCGTCTTCATACATGATTAACTTGCTTTCATGGTACCCCAAAAAATATGCGTATGATCGTTAGTAACTCTCTTGCCCCAAGTGTCTCCCTCCGATCTTTACATACCATTCTGTAGAGCCGGCTTCAGCTCAGAGATTTATAGTATGAAGCAAATCATCGACCGCTCTTTGTTACTGTAGGATTGCGGTAGGGACTTCCAGCGTACACCTCCATTGTAATATGGGCTGACCGTTAAATTTTTTTCAAAAAGAATCTAGAAAGTTGTGTAGCAGCGTCTTGACGCATGTTGATTACAGTAAACAACTTTCTAGGAGTTCTTCAAGATTCTCAAATGGTGTATCCACATTTTTAAGAACTGAAGAAAGTTGTTATTGATATACCCGGCAATTATAGTAGAAGTATCACGGTCAAATGCGATTATCACATTCTAGTCAGCAATTCTGATTATAGTGTAAATCAGCTTGTTGATACCTTTCTGCGGCTGAAGAGCATGCACATCTTTTAACAGACTCTGTAGATGAGAGAATTTTATTTTTTGCACGCATAACAAATGATACCCTTTGTTGATATTTTCTAGCAACATAACTTTCAAGTAGCGAATTTAGAAGTGCTGCTATAGCCTCGACTACTGAGTTTTTTTTACCTTGAGTATCATTATGTGAACCACCATAAGACCAAAACATGTCGTAAGCCTAAACATTCATTGAATCAAAATCAGCGAGACTTGTCGGATGATTTCTTATCTATAAAAAGCTTGTGATTGCATAATCCGAGGATACTGGCAATGCTTTATCCAACAACTAGCTGGCATGCCCAGCATCGACTGCACCGGCGTAACTCTAGATGTTCAACTTATCTGCTTTCGGCTTCCTTCCCCTTCTCTTGTAACGCAGGGCAGTTATTTCCTGACCGCCCCGCCGTAATTACCAACCTCCCTCTTGGTGAAATGAAAATGAGTTTTACGCTGTTGTTTACTCGAAAATTAGAAATTGTATGATACGGCATGATAAGAGTTCATTTTCCTTCAAAATCGATAAATCAATAGAAGGAATGGGAATTTTGCCGGAAAAAGTAGTCTACATGGTGGGCCGGTGTCAAAACTAAATGTGTGCAAAATTTGGCGCTATCGGTCCACAGACAAAAAATTTCTATAAAGAAAACACTAACTAACAACTTACTAACGGTCAGTTTTAAAATATGTATCCAACAATGAACACTTAAAATGTCACTTAGAAAAATTCAGAGTGTTCTAAACACTAATGTGTAACTTATGATTCAATGAGTACAAAACCTTTTTCATATAGCAAGTGTCATGCAAATTCACATCTAAATTCGTTAAACAATGTCTCATGGATCCCACCTTAGTAAAATCAATCTAAGAATGTATGAGTTTGCACTACAGTATAAAAATGTCATACCATGTCACTGTCAGCATTATGAAGTCGTCCCCGTTGCTCTTGGCTGCTCTTCTCGTAGGCGTTCACGGAAAGATGCAGAATATTACTGTTAAAGGTTTTACTGTTTGCCGCGAAGAAGTTATGCCTGGCGTCCAGGTGGAGCTATGGCAGAGACACCTCTGTGGGTTTTTGTGGTTTTGAGAGTTTGAGCTGCGAAACTCTGTACATGTATTGTAAACTTTTCTACCCTCTCTTACCACGTCTTCTCATCAAATCAAATTTTGTAATTTCGACTAACAACTTTATTTCCTTATCCGCATTCACCAATTGAAAACAAAAGTAATTGATGCAACATTCTAGGCTTCCCTGACCGACTTCTTGACACAATGGTAACGTCCAAAAACGGCAGATTTATTGTGAAAGGAAGAGAAGATGATTCCTTGCACTACCAGACATTTTTGAAATTCACTCACACTTGCAATGTGGCATGGGTTAGACTTCTCCACATTTTCTGTTGATCGACTACCTATAAAAATGATTTCAGGTGTGCAGACGAGTCACTGAGTTGGGAATCCCAGAATCGGAAATCGGCACCGTTTACGATTTGTCAGCGGTGGTATTGACTGGAATGTCTGAGGTGGACAGGCTGCAGTGCTTTGAAATGACAACGTCTAGACATTGTAGAGAGTTGTAGATTTCTGTTCTATGGTTTGAAACTCGTCGAAGCACATCAATAGGCATTATGATTACTGTTACCATATTCAAGCACATGTAAGATATTTTTCACATGAAATAAAGCAAAATCTATGTTAGCATCACTTTGTTATTGAGCGTTGACGTTGACATTTTGCTTCCTACTCTGGTTGGGAATACACTGACAAACAAAACAAAGAAGTCTTTGGCAGTTCGCTTCTGCCCAAATGTATTTGAGATATGCTTCAAAATCAGGAGTCGAATGCCCTTGCGCATTATTCCGAGAAAAATTGAAGTGTCAGTTTGCTACGTCCAAAAACCTTTCCGCAGAACTGCCTAAGGTTGCCGCTTGCTAACCTCCAAAAATTGTCCGAGAAAGCTGTTCCTTGACGGTCTGGCCGTAAATTAATACTGCTAGATGTTACCGTTGTCACTGCCGAACTGGTGTTAACTGGTGTTACCGTTGTGGAGTGATTTAGCCTTATAGATTTTTCTGCACACAATTTCGTGGGTTAGTCACTGCGCGTTTTTCGCGTCGTTGATTCAGGTTTGCTGATGGAAGAATGAAGTAAGGCTGATTTCATGACTTAAAAATGCCAACAACTCGTCGGTTACAGCGCAGCTGTAGCGGCGACCACGAATAGCCAAAATTCTACGATGGCCATCTTGTCTTTCAGAAAACTACAACTTGTGCTCAAACTTTCTGAACACCCACACTAAGATCGGTGCTGCCGTAACTTCAATGCGTCAATACATGCTTGCTGCCCACTTACTATGTACTTCAATTGTATAAGATTTCAGCCGCATTCATGCGCAAACAATTTGGAAGAAGCTCAATATTTTGTCGGTAAAAAAAAGGCATCCTCAATCCACATTCCTCCTACGTTGGGTCAGCAGAATTTTGACTCCCATCTCGTAGTCATTCGTACGAGAATGTTGCTGCATTTGGCTATATACGTTTACAAGGGAATGGTCAGAAGTCGAAGTGGCCAATCAAAAAAGTTGCATACCATTCGATGCAAATTAGAAAGCCAATTTCAAATCTGCCTTCCGTATTTGCAAAGCGCCTTTGTAAGCAAAGTTATGACCAGCTTTAGAGCGAAAGAATCGTACACAAAAATTGCGAGATTGGGCACATTATTGCCCTTTTTGCTCATCTTTGGGTACTGGCCATAAGAAGTAACCTAGCTGCCTGTTTTGGTCTATCACTGAGCCAGGAATGGCTCTGTACGGCCAAGTTTGCCCTTTACGCACACAATTGCTTAGCAAAATAATGACCTTTAACGGCTTATAATTCCATCCACAAATGTGGTCTGCGGATAAGGAAGACAGATTTGGAGTCAGCGTTCCATGGTGCATCTAGTGGTATGCAACCTGCTTGAATTGGCCACTTCGATTTCTGTATTCCATTGTTAGCGCAGGCGTCAAGCGAATACAGTTTCATGGCAGCGGCTTTGATAATTCTTTGAAAGGGTTTTGAGGATTTTCATTGGAGCGCTGTTGGTACGCTGTTGTTATTGAAGCCTGACGTTTCCTTGTCAAAGGTATAGCTCATAAAGAAGTTGCACTTTCTGCGAAAAAAATGTCGATGGACGGGTTGAATATGGTTTCAAGAGTGCTACATTCTCGGTTAGGCTTTCTTTTCAAGATACTCCTCTTTCAACCCATTGACGACGACGCCTAATTTTGCATGGCGGCGCTTTGGGAGAAGTTTTGTGGTTGCCTACGAAATGCAAGGTTGTTTTGCAAACAAATACAAACATTTTCTTGAACGACGGAGCCTACAGGTCCCAAGAGTGCAAAAAACTAAAGAAAATATCAATATGTGGGAGAAATACTACATAGATCTACAAAGAATATGACTTTGCAAAAGTTGTGGGCCACCTGTGGCCACATCCTCGTCAATGAGTTGAATAATTCTGTCCCAGAAATGTGCACACTGTTTGATTGCTGATAAGTTATTTAAATTAGTTAGTTTAAGTTAGTTCCAGGGTCAAGCAGGAGGTGTGGCACACGATCGCTGGTTACGACCCCCCCCCCCTTTTATTGCTGTCTCAATAAGATCCCCTGAATTATGTACCTAAGATAGCATTACTTGAAGGACCTGTCAAACATAACGGGCAACATATCCATAATTAGCATGTCAATCAATCTGTAGACAATGTCTTAGCGAATTTTGAAGTTTCAAGATACTGGATCAACAAGGGAACGATACTCAATGTCCGTGGCTTTTTGAGACGAGATGTATACCATTACACTCGCCTTCGAGCGCTGATTCCGAGACTGACCTCCGTTTCTGCTAATCGTTTCTCTGAAGGAAGTTATGGAGGAATTTCGAGCCAACTTTATCCGCCCAAGGGTATGGTCACCAGAACGGCCTCTACCGGCGCCATGTTATTGTCTAGTGAGTAGTGTGATAGCCTCATAACTTGATACAGGTATAGGTTCAAATCCTTTTGTGTTTTTATTTTGCACTACCTCATTTAAAGTTGTTCGAGATTCACTCGAATTATGGTCAATGGATACATATTAACGCAAATAGTAAATTTCCAAATTTCCACATTTTCCGAAAAGTAAGGGCGTTCAGTTAGCTCGAAGATGCGAAAGAATGTTTATTGAGGCAACGCAAAACTGAAAAACACAAAAGGATTCGAACCTATACCTGCATCAACTCATGAGCCTATCGCGCTAACCACTAGACCACACCGCACCGTCACCGTTGCCGCTTTGAACATATTTCAGTGGACAGACAAAGCCTGCACAATCCTTTACAACATCTTTGAAGCGATTAGCAGAAACGGAAGCAAGATTCGGAATCAGCGTTCCAAGACGAGTGTAATGGTGTACAACTCATCTCAAAAAGCCACGGACACCGAGTATCGTTTCCTTTTAAGTGAAATCGCCATTTTCCAGCATGATTAACTTTGTTTCAAAGATGAAGTAACTAGCTGTTTTTGCACTCAAGACGAAACACTACTCCTTCTTTGGCCACTTTAAAAATCTTGCTTCAAACCTTCTAACTTTGGAATTAGCCAACCAAAACCTTGTTTTCCTATTTTTCGCTTTTAACACATTGACGACCATGCAAATTTTCAGCTGTCTGCCTTTTGGGACCAAGGCTTTTACGGACCAGCCCACATTTTTCAACTATAATCACGCATGCTGCCATCTACATCACACCTACAATAAATCTGAAAGACTGATAGAAAAGGTAGAGGTCATCCCTAGATTTGGTGCGAAAGAAAGCTTATGGAGTGCGTCTATCCCGGGATAGCAGTCATTTTCACAAAATTCAAGCCTTGGCACACATTGTGTGTCAAGCGGTTCCACGCGGTAGTCATTGCCTGACACACCATGTGTGTCAAGCGGTCGTCAATGTGTTAATGGCTATGCTTTCACCAAATATTTCTCAGGGCTAAGAATACGAATCAGGCTCAAATCATTCCTATGAAATCTGCGGGTCTAGGATATCGATTCGCATAAATAACGTTCGCTAAAAATGTTTTTTGATATAGTTAATGGGGTGTGGCACCACCTCTAAAAAGCTGTGGCAGCAGCAGCTTTTTAAGAGTGGTGCCACACCCCATCAACTTACCTTCAAACAGATCAAATAGCTGCGTTTTTTATATCGTTGTTATTGCTTAGCCTTCTTCTTTACGTAGCAGAAATTTCATATGAAAACATTTTCTCAGGAGCATATAATTTTTTTCTTTACCTATGCAAATGTAAAATACTGGCAAAATACAGGGCCCGGCACGAGGTGGGCAAATGACAAGCTGGAAATCGTTTTGGGGCCAAAAAGCAAAGGGGACATCGGTTTTTGCGGGATCCGGGGCGGAACCCCGGAAGAAGATTCCAAGTGTAAGCAAAAGAAGGTCGAATCATGCTTACCTTTCACATCTAATTCATTGGGAAGTAGTTTCCATAAACCTCAACACACAGCAGAGTTCGCGCGCGCTATCGCGCCGCCGCTAATTGCCGCGTGCGCGACGTCGCATATGCGATGCCGTTGAACAGCATGATTACATGATCAGTTCTCAATGCAGGCGCAACGGTATAGCACCAAATCACATAAGCGAACGAAGAGAGGCTAGTAGGAACAAAGTATGAAATATTATGAAAAAATTTATGTGAATGGGAGGTGTAATAAGCAATTCTTCCAAAAAATTTGCAAAAGTGGTAAATGAAGATGTGAATTCAAATGGCTCGTTTGCAGCGCACAGATGACCATACGGTATGAAAATTGGTAGGTACATGAACACGAGCCTGCTGGGCTTAACTTTGAAGTTTCATTGAGAATTTATGTGACTGAAGATTGTGGCAAGCTTTTTCCTGAAAATTTCCCACTATCAAGAAAATGGAAAAATGGCTCGTTTGCAGCGCAGAGAAAACGAAATCGCGCGAGACTTGGGGCCGCATGCACTAACATCCCCGCGGGGAGGGGATCGCAGCTTAAAAGAAAGCTTTATATTTTGGAAGTCCAGATACTTGGATTTCACGTTGTGTACCTCTCCGTAAGTATTCCTACTACCCTTCACTATGAACATGTTGAAAAGGAGCGAGAAGCTGTACGAACCGCATTTTCCAGCTTTTGTATGATCCCTGATGATCCCCGGCGCTTTTCTTTGAAGTCATTTTTCTTTCTCCGAAGTTAACGAATAACCTCCCAAGTTGTGCAGATTATCCAACCCGACAGTGCTAAGCATGTTCGTGATAAGAACAAATGATGTTTTGAAGTCATGAAATTTTCGATGATCCACAGGTCGAAATTTGAGGTTTACCAAAAAAATCGACTTTTCAAAAACTCATTTGTTCTCATCAGCAACATGCTTAGCACTGTTGTGTTAGATGTTTAATACAGCTTTGGAAAGTTTTCGTTAACTTCGGAGAAAGGAAAATGACTTTAAAGAAAAGCGCCGGGGATCATCAGGGATCACACAAAAGCTGGAAAATGCGGTTCGTACAGCTTCTTGCTCCTCTTCAACATGTTCATAGTGAAGGGTAATAGGAACACTTACGGATAGGTACACAACGTGAAATCTAGGTATCTGGAGTTTCGAAATATAAAGCTTTCTTCTAAGCTGCGATCCCCTCCCCAGCGGGGAGGTTAGTGCATGCGGCCCTTGGTGTGTATACGCGCAGTAGGACCAAGGAACAATTTATGAAAAATTATGAAAAACTTATGTGAATGAAGAGCGTGCTTAATTTTTTTCCAAATTAGGTGGGCAATTGCCCACCTAATGCCCACCTGAGGTGGGCAAAACTTTCAGTTCACATAATTTTTTCAAAATTTTTACATAAATCTGTTGTTCACCTAAAGTTTACTATATGGTGAGATTTTGGTTCCGAAACTCCTCCTCTTGTCTTTGTCAGAGCCCAAAATCGCATCAGCAGCCCAGCTTTCTAAGACGGAAAGCGCGCCCCAATCAATCGATACGCGCGGGAACGGCGTCTCTCAGTCCTATGACTGCGTTACTTTGCTATTTCTTTATTTTTTCGTCATTTTTCTTGCTTATTCTTCTTCCTGTTTATCTTGTTTATCTTGATGCAGGTGAGGAGTAATTGGAGGAATTTGGGCGTTTTGGGCGCTTTTGAGCGCTTTTAGGCGAAGTGTGGCCGGTGCTCTTGCACAAGCACAAAGCATCGTTTTTGAGCTCAAGGGAGTATTCGCCAAAAATATGGTCAAAGGGGAATTCGTTTTGGAAAATCCCGTTTGCCTACCTCGTGCCGGGCCCTGGCAAAATACTGCGAAAACACTGGGATACGGTAACATGCTAAGTCTGCGCTACTACGTATATCGCAAGGTAAGGCGACAAGAATGTATATATTAGATAGCCTAAGCCTCGTAATCTATATTAAAGTGATTTGAGCCTGATTGGTCTTTTTTAGCCTGAGATATTGAAAACGAAAAATGGAACAAACGAGATTTTGGCTTGCTCCTAATTCCTTAATTTGGAGGTCATTTGGTCATTTGAAGTAGGATTCCTAAAGTGAGCAAAGAAATAGTAGTTCTTTGTACTGAGCGCAAAAAAAAGTAGTTAACTTACCTTTGAAACAAAGTAACATGTTTGAAAACGACATCTCACTTACGTGGTCCTGTATTTGGAAACCTCAGAATTCGCTGAAACTTGGACCACAGGGGTTATTTTACCTGCTAATTACAAAACGATGCTCTTATGCTTTATAGATTTTTGATTATGCGTACTGTACGTATACGATAATCGGTCAAAAATCAATGTCCTAGTATTTTGCAACGAATATCATTTTATGCGAACAGCGGACGCCTTGACCCCCCCCCCCTACCGGGTGCGGCATGCCACATCCCACGACCCTGACCCTGCTAAAAACTCGCTTTCTGCAAAGTTTTTTTACCATCTTTAAGCACCGTTCTGTAGAACTTGCTCCGAAATAGATTTACAGCATGGAGAGGATCTCCACCCTCTTTCATTACTGCAGGGTTACGTTATGAATTTCCACCATTCAGAGCCATTCCCAAATACGTCGTATTATGGAAAAATTCAAAAAAGTGGAAAATTATGTAGCAGGGATTCCAAGCGTGCTGATTTCATTGCACAACTTCCTACAAGCTTTCTGAGCTTTTTATCAGTGTAATCCCGTTTTCAAAACGCATTGGAAGAGCAGTTATCACGGCTTTCCTGGCATAGCTTATGAAGCAAGCATGACTGCGAAGTTCAAATCTCATATCTGAAATCAGCTACTCTGATTGGCCTAGCATAGGAGTTCTTAGCTTGTTTGAGTTTTTTTTAAACCAAATATTACTCTCAACGGCTCAGAACCGCTTTCAAAGTTCCTACCATAATCTTACGGTAACGAGAAGGGGTTGGAGATTTGCTACCTACTGTAAATCTAAGTTGCTAGCTCTATAGAGTGGTGCCTAAAGATGAATATAAGATGTTGAAGCAGGAGAGTTATCAACGATCAAAATATGTGCACATTTTCAAGACAAACTTTGTACAGTAACTTGGTATTGAATAATCAAAAAAACATTTTTCTTTTTTTTTTCGGCAAATTTGGCAGTGACATGTCATCAAACTAGAGTTTTGCATGAAAATGGAATGATAAAACCATTTCGGTCATCTATAATCGAGATGGTCTTTGAACGATGTAAAACTAAAATCAACTTTCTTCCTTCTGTGAGAGAAAATTGATGATTGCAGATCCTCTCTTAGAGAATGAGATACTGTGATAAACGAAGAGAACGATGATGCTGATTCACACTGGTAGGGAGCTGTGATGGTAAGTAGGGTACTTTTGTACTTCGCCCGCTACGTGATGAGCATTAATTGGCACGAGTAACTCTTATGGTTAGACAAGCTGAATGCCATTTCAAAACAAAAAGTCATGCTTCTAGATATCATAGCATTTCTCACCATTAGGCCTCGGACAGAGTTCACGCGATTTGATCGCCGCGATATAATCGCCACAGAACAACTGTTACGAGTTCCTCAGACAGTCGAAGGGATACCTCCGGCGGGCATATGGCGCGAGTCTGCCACTTCGCGCTCCGAAGCCCTGCCATTTCACGCATTTTTGTGCTCCGGGGCTCTCCCAGAGGTGGCGCACCTCCGGAGCACAAAAATGCGTGAAATGGCAGGGCTCCGGAGCGCGAAGTGACAATCCTCCGCTGGGGAAAGCCCGCGACCCTGCCACTTCTGCTCCGGAGGCATCCCATCGACTGTCTGAGTCATTGCATGCCGACCAACTTGCATTTCGGTTGTGATGCTTTTCCAGCCCGAAATGTTTTTTTTAAATGAAAGTGAATGGAAATCGCGGCGATTGAATCGCGACGATCAAATCGCGTGAACTCTGTCCGAGGCCTTAGATATGCTCTACTTTCTTTTTTACTTAACTAGAGCACAGTCACAACATTCACATAACCCCCTTACGTATATTGGGTTAACCCAAAGTTGTCCTTTACCAAGATTCATGAAACCCTTATCAAGAAACGATTCTGGTATCGTTTGAGTCTTTGAATTCAGATTCTAGGTGTAGTGGTATACTACTATAGGTGTATTACTTGGTTGTGTTTCATTTCATAGTGAATCCGTTCAGATATGGTCGATATCAATTATGAGTTCCCTGCTATTCCCAAGAAGTTTAACGAGTTCGTAATCAAGCCGGATCAGGTCCAGGTATTTCACAATAATGGTGCGATAATTTTTGACTGGCTACTATGTGCTGTGCATAACACTGACCGTGAACAACGTTTTGACACAAAATTTCTTCAAACACGCGTCGCTTCTGGCAAAATCAGGTCTCAAAATCGTTTCGTATTTCAGGCATTGTTGTCCCACTAGTATATGAAGCTTTGAACAACTTTGTTTCACCTATGCATTATACATGCACATTTGTTTCTGCCAGGTTTTGTGATTTGCAGGTCAGCGGAGAAATGTGGGAGTCTGCGTTATCGCTTCAGAACACCAGCCAGTGTGGAATACTTTACAAGGTAATTTGAACCCCCGCACGTTTCAGTTTCAGTCAGTTTACGAAATGCTCGAACGTAAGAACTAGCGTCATAAATGAGTTTCTTGCCACGACATAGTCGACTGAATCGCGACGAGACAACTGTTACAACATCATTCCATGCCGATCAACTTGCATTTCGGTTGTGATACTTTTACAGCCTGAAATTTTTGAATGTGAAATGAAAATGAATGAAATGTCGGCGATTGAGTCGCGACGATCAAATCGCGTGAAGTCTGTCCGGGGCCTTATAGACAATTTATATATCTTTCTTTGCCGTACAGGTTTGGGTAGTAACTTTATTGCTTTAAGGGCGGACATACATCACGCGATTTCGGTCGCGACGCGAGCAATATTCCAACTGTCCATAACTCTTTGTAAGCACATTTCAAATGTACAGAAGATAAGGCATTTTATCAATCCACGTAACTTATACATACTATGCATGTGCAGTTTGCTAGTGTTGAATCTGAAGACTTCTGGAAAATTGCCAAATTGCGTTGCGGCTGAAATCGCGTGAAGTATGCGCGGCTCTTTACGTTTCGGCCACACGCCGTCGTCAGAAGCCTGAAAAAAGTCACAACGTCAACAGCGATTATCATTGTGACTGACTCCTTTAAGACCTCTAACGACAACTTGTGGCCGTAACGTAAGGCACGAAAATTACTACCATAGCAAATCCGTACGGAAAAGAAACATGCAGAAATTGGCTTGCTTCTTAATTTATGTTTTCATTTCCTGATGTAAAGTGCCAAAATTCGCAGTGCTTGCTATGCTTAGTAACCTTATACGTTGAAGGACGTTATCGTGTTACCGCAAAGGTTCCGCGCAGGTATTTGCACCAAATTTCGCTCCTACACATTGAAGCCTCGTACCAGTTGTCCGCACGGATAGAGCCTATCTGCGACATATCATCTTCTACCTTTAACTCGGACAGTCGGACCTTGAAACTTGTTAGCGAAATATTAGGTTGGTGCAAAAGTTCTTTCGCACCAAATTCAAGAATTCATAACTTTGAATTCTCAATGAATCTGCAAGATCTAAATTTTATATAAGAGAGGAATTCATGCTCTTTGCAACTGTATTTGAACTGTTCGTTAACGTATACAAATGAAGGAGATAGAAGCTCAAAATCAAAATCACTCAAAATTTGAATTTTTCGTGGAGGGTCATAAAAAATCGGAAACTTGCAACAAAAGTCAGAGCAGTCGGTATTGTGGGTTCTTTCACCAGCCTCTTCCAACAGTGCAAAGTTTGTGCTGATTGAGCGCCTCTATGAAAAGTTACGTTTTTCGAGCAAGCAATACTTAAGGTCGAATTTTATTTATTTTGGCATTTTTCAGGGAAATCATAACTTTTCACAGAGACGCTCAATCAGCGCAAACTTTGCACTGTTAGAGAGAGCTTGTGAAAGAGCCTACAATATCGACTGCTCCGGTTTTTTTGCAAGTATCCGATTTTTTATGACCCTATACGAAAAATTCAAACTTTGAGTGATTTTGGTTTCAGCTTCAGTCTCCTTTATCTGTTCTGATAGCGAACGATTCAAGTACCCGTACAAAGAGCATGAATTGTTCTCTTATGCAAAATTTGGATCTTGCAGATTCGTTGAGAATTCAACAAGTTATGAATTTTTAAATTCGGTGCGAAAGAACTTTTGCACCAACCTAATAAATAGAAAAATCTCATGTATAGTTGTCATTTACGAAAAGTTAATCTATGCTTGAACATCTTCGATTTGTTTATTGTGACACGCTTTATGTGTACAAATAAAATAAAAATGAGAACTTTTTAAAAATGGAGGAGGTAGGAGTCTAATTTGCCTGCTATTCGCACAGTTTTGTATCGGTGAGAGAAGTGATAAAAGGATGCTCTGAACAACTGAAGCTTTACATAAGCCAGTACAAGACCACAGTTTGAGTATAAAGCCTAATCTAGTCACTCTAAGTAACCCTCGATTCTTAGGGACCCATCACACTTCGCCGAAAAAAGCCCAAAGAAGCCCGAAAAAGCCCAAAAAAGCCCAAAAGCGCCAGAAAGAGCCGCTACACTTCTCGCACGTTTTGGCGCTAAGGCATGTGTGTTGACTTCGCAATCGAGCCTTGCTGTCATTTTCTGTCGTCCGCATGATAAGATAATGTCAGACTTCTATCAAAAGTTCGTTTCTACATTCCGGCTCTTTCTGGCGCTTTCGGGCTTTTTTGGGCTTCTTTGGGCTTTTTTGAGCTTTTTCGGGCTTTTTTCGGCGAAGTATGACGGGTCCCTTATAGTAGCTGATAAGCAAGATGCAAAATTCACATGAGTATATCTGTCGATTTGTTGTGAGATCCGGTATTCTTCATTCAAATGCTTATTCAATTTTCAGATGGCTATCTCTCTTTCGTCTTTCTTACTTTTACTTTCAGGTGAAATGCACATCAAATGCCCGTATCGAGATAGACGACTGCGCTGATATTCTTCTTCCAGACAAAGAAGTACAGGTTACTCTCATTTCCTTCATCTAGTTCTGGTTTCGGTCATAAGGCTAGCAACGGAAATTTCTTGAACTTGGCAACAAATCGATAACCCTTTTCTTCCTTCCTGGTAGTTAGTGGGTCACGATACGAATGCAGCAAGTCTGATCGCTGGACATTTTGCGAAGGAAGAAAATCCTGCAGCCAGAATTGCAAGAGGGTTTAGGAGCAGCTACGAAAAATTTCGAAAAGTTTGTTGAGTGGAAGTATATACATGCCATTCCATGCCACCCGAAGGTGCCATCTGTTTTATGAAAATAATTTTTTATCAGTCTGACAACAATCCATCAGGTTGTTTCAAAGGTTTTTTTCAATTCTGATTTTTTCGGTAAGTCACACATCTCTCAATTCTAATTGGGATGCAAGATAGCATTCAATAAAGCAAAACAAGTTCTGTAATGTATATTGGCATCAGCTTTAGCACATCATGAGTTAGAAATCGAAACCTGAGAGTTTTCGGATGCCCAATAAATTGGGAAAGTTTTATATCTTTGCCCAAAGAAAACTTACCAGATCACTTGCTCACACCACTCCACATAAGACATTCACATATGCCGTTGCTGTGTTTGTATCTGCGCTAGAAAACTAAAATTTTAAGCTCCCAAGATAGTGACGCTGCGATGTTCTCACATAAGTATTTTATACCACAGTCTCTGAAAGGGATCACAGATATCCAGCTCTCTATAAGCTCTAATTCCCTAGAAATATTGGTTTTAACATGAAATACTTTAGCAGAAAAGTTCAGTTTGGTATTTCTTAAGAGCTGCGCTTCCAGGAAGGTGAAATTTACTGATGTAAATCTGAAGGTCTGCAGTATACTCTTACCTATGTGAGAACAGCGCAGTATCGCTTATGTGGAATTTTAAACATTTTTGTCTCGATTATCAACACAGAAATAAACATAGCAGGGACACGTATGAATGTCTTATGCGGTGTAAATGCATGAGTAAGTTTGGGATCTGGTAAGTTTTCTTCGAGCGATACTATAAGGTTTTTTTGAGCATCCGAATGTAACAAGGGAGGGGTACCCTGTCACACTGACACATCGAAGAGATGTATATCACTAGACGTATCCTAAACGCTGATTCCAGAACTGCTTTGCTTTTGTGCGAACGTTCTTTGAAAGAAGTTATGAGCGTTTAGAAGATCCACTTTGTAAAGCCTTAAATGGCATACAATACCGCTCCTAATTTGTGAAAAAATTGGCGGCGGCCGCTTAACTCAGGCGGCGGCCGCCTCCGCAATTAGGCAGCAAGCACCGCGTCTCGAAAGACGTTATCTTGACTCAAAGTTTATGAATTCTATATTTAGGGGCCGCATGCACTAACCTCCCCGCTAGGGAGGGTTCGCAGCTCAAAAGAAAGCTTTATATTTCGAAACTCCAGATACCTGGATTTCACTGTACCTATCCGCAAGTATTCCTACTACCCTTCACTATGAACATGTTGAAGAGGAGCGAGAAGCTGTACGAACTGCATTTTCCAACTTTTGTATGATCCCTGATGATCCCCGGCGCTTTTCTCTAAAGTCATTTTTCTTTCTCCGAAGTCAACGAAAACCTTCCAGAGTTGTACTGTACATCTAACACAACAGTGCTAAGCATGTGCTGATGAGAACAAATGAGTTTTTGAGAAGTTGAATTTTTTGGTAAACATCAAATCTCGACCTGTGGATCATCGAAAATTTCATGACTTCAAAACATCATTTGTTCTTACCAGCAACATGCTTAGCATTGTTGGGTTAGATAATCTGCACAACTTTGGAAGGTTTTCGTTTACTTGGAGAAAGAGAAATGACTTTAAAGAAAAGCGCCGGGGATCATCAGGGATCATACTAAAGCTGGAAAATGCGGTTCGTACAGCTTCTCGCTCCTGTTCAACATGTTCATAGTGAACGGTAGTAGGAATACTTACGGATAGGTACACAACATGAAATCCAGGTATCTGGAGTTTTGAAATATAAAGCTTTCTTTTAAGCTGCGATCCCCTCCCCGCGGGGATGTTAGTGCATGCGTCCCTAAGAGTACCATTCAGCTCAGCTCGGCTAGGCGCATCTTCCAGTATATGGAGGTGCCTAGTCGTGGGATATAGGTTTTTTTCTTGGAATTTTAGTGTAAATGGATTATTCAGTGTGCTGATTCCAGAGGCCACATTCTGTTGCGCACTGCAGAAATACGGTGAATATAGTTTAAGAGCTCATTCTGCACGGATATGTGTAAAATTGGGCTCTTCTCAGCGATGTATGACGGGTCCCAGAATGCAGGAAGACAAAGGGGAATGGCTGGAAATCGCATACGAAGCACATATCGTGGAATACCGCGCGTGCTGTGCAATGTACAACGGCACCCATAGAACGGGAATTTCGCGAAATTTTCGGAATATCGCAAATTACGCAGCGCCGTGACTTCCTTCGGAATGAATATATTACAAATCCGAAAGCAGCATTGTGTTCAGCTCGTTAAGACAAATCTTGCGACATACATCATTTACTCTATATCTCGTTTCCAGTTTTCACAAATTCTTCTGCGGAGGTCCTTTCGCAGGGGTGTAACGCAGCGCCTATCCAACATGAAAGATACTAGTAAGTATTATTCGATAGTGCTGCTCTTGTAGGTTATAGTGCGCTAGCAAGTAGCCGCAGACTTCTTCCCAAAAGAGACAGAAGCGTTGGTGAATTCTGGAAAAATTACGCGTTTCCAAAATTTTTTCACCGTAACTTTCTTTGGAGTGAATATCTTCTGAATCTGAAAGAAGCATTGCGCTCAGCTCGTCAAGGCTTTCGATATACAGAATGTCCTTGATGTTTCGATTCCAGTATTCTTGAAACCTTCTGCGGACGTCTCTGCTAAGGTGTAAAGCAGCGCGTATACCCCCAGTAGATTCCAGGAAGAATTTTTCGATAGTACTTCCTCTGTGAATTATGGGGCGCTGAAATAGTAGGCGCAGATTTCTTTCCAAAGGAAATAGAAGGGCCAGTGGATTTTGAAAAATCTTTCTAAATTTTTCTCACCATAACTCTAAGATATAAAGCTCTCTTGCTAAGCAGATTTGATTTTTGAAGTACAACCACTCACGGTAGAGTTTCAACGAAGTACGCGATCTTTACATTGTGCAAAATCCATGAGGATGTGTTTTCGTTGGCTCGTAACTCGGCGATTTCATAGACTGGAGCCTGAGTCATGCGCCATTCGATAGCACAGTTCCTAGCAACTTTAAACTATAAAAACAAGCAGGCAAATTTTCTGACAGATAAGCGAGAAGTGCGGGCAAAGTTACGTACTTTCGTAGTGCAGTTACAGTCACCTCACCATATTTCTGCAAAAAGACCCTATATTGCTCGAAGACCACGATTTCGTAAAGTTCCGAAAACCTCTGTAAGCGAAGTTTCCTTGCAATTCGAGATCATCGACATTTTGGCCAAAATCCACCAGCGAGCTTCAGAGCGTAAAACGACAAAAAATGAAATAACCCGAAACATCTCCAAAAACTTGCTCGTAAAGGTTATTCGACCCGCTGACTACGAAAATCGCATCTGCTTAGCAAGAGAGCTTCATATTTTAGAGTTATGGTGAGAAAAATTTAGAAAGACATGATTTTTCCAAAATCCACCGGCCCTTCTATTTCCTTTGGAAAGAAATCTGCGCCTACTATTTGGCGCATCATAATCTACAGAGGAAGTACTATCGAAAAAGTCTTTCTGGAAACTACTGGGGGTATACGCGCTGCTTTACACCTTTGCTAAGGGACGTCCACAGAAAGTTTCAAGAATACTGGAATCGAAACAACAAGGACATTCTGTATATCGAAAGATTCGCCTTTATGAGCTGAGCACAATGCTTCTTTCAGATTCAGAATATATTCATTCCGAAGGAAGTTATGGCGCTGCGTAATTTGCGATATTCCGGGAATTTCGCGATATTTCCGGAATTTCGCGAAATTCCCGTTTTATGGGTGGCGTTGTACATTGCACAGCACGCGCGGTATTCCACGATATGTGCTTTGTAGGCGATTTCCATCCATTACCCTTTGTCTTCCTACATTTTGGGACCCGTCATACATCGCCGAGAAGAGCCCAATTTTACACATATCCGTGCAGAATAAGCTCTTAAACTATATTCACCGTATTTCTGCAGTGCGCAACAGAATGTGGCCTCCTAATCAGCACTCTGAATAATCCATTTACACTAACCTTTCCAAGAAAAAAACTATATCCCACGACTAGGCACCTCCATATGCTGGAAGATGCGCCTAGCCGAGCTGAGCTAAATGGTACTCTTAAATATAGAATTCATAAACTTTGGGTCAAGATAAGGTCTTTCGACGTTTTCTAAAAAAGTTAGGCGGCGGCCGCCGAAATTAGGCGCCCGCCGCCTAACTTTGTCGCGTGACGCGGTGCTTGCTGCCTAACTGCGGCGGCCGCCGCTTAACTTCGGTGGCCGTCGCCTGAGTTAAGCGGCCGCCGCCAATTTTTTTTTCACAAATTACGAGCGGTATTGTAATATTGGCGAAGAGCTCTTCCAACAATTAAAAATGGGTGATCAATTTCGTATCAAGTATGTATACTAACTAAAAGGAAGGAATAGAGCCAACGGAAATCGCATAGTTTTTGTATAGCTTTTCGCTGATTTTATGCTACTTTAGGCTTGGCAAATATGAAGTTTGAAACGCTCATTACTTCTCAGAGAATCCTTTGCAGAAAAGGAAAGAGGTTTTGAAATCAGCCTTTGCAGACGCTCTAGTAATATACTTCCATTTTCGATTTGCCAGTGTAACTTGGTACCCTCCCATTGCAAGATGAACGCAGGAGTGAGATCGAATCATTCCATCATTAATTATCCGTATCGGAATTATAGTGTAGCAAATCTGAGCAGCTTGTTTGAACGTAGCCTTCAACGGGAATCGATCTCAGATTTTTTTTCTTTGGGCCTCTCAGTCACGCTGGGAGAAGGTCTAGGAGAGCTCACAAAT